TGATGTCACTGCTTTGATTAAACAAACTACAGCATTTGTTGGTCAGAAGTACGAATATAAATTAATAACGGCTGGGTATATTTATTGCCACAAAAACAGGAATTGTGATTTCTCGACATGTTGTGAAAAGATCTAATCTAAGCCCTGATATCTATACTGGTATATAAATTTCATGAGAAATGTAAGCATATAACTTGCAGTATGTCTATTTATTTTCTAACAGAGGGGCAACATTGATATTTTAGAAATGTAGATAATTAGACATTTGAATGTTATAAACAATTTTCAGCATGACAGCAGTTTGGTTTGTTTATATGTTATCACTGCCCCACTTGAAATTGATTCTCCAGAAATTGTCAAATGACTCGTTGAATGAGGTTTCACATTTATTACTCTTTCTGAGTTATATGTATTAGTGACCTGCACATGATAAATATTTCTTAATCTACAGTACGTTTTGTCATCTCATGTAAATGTTACACACTATATCATCATAACTGCAATGAAATATAAAGAATAGAGCATATCATTATGAAACTATAATAAATCCACCACAGGGAACCAGAAGGGATAATAGTTTTGCTTTTAGACCCAGCCATCTGTCCTTCCATCCTTATGCTATCTTCTGTACAACTAATCATAGGAACTTAATACTTAGCATATGGGTTCACCTTAGTGAGATGGTATATCACATATCAAAAGTAGGTCATTCTGACATACATTTTGACCTTTGACCCACATCAAATGAAAGTTTGTCCAGGCTCTATCTTCTTCATTACTAATCCTGGAACTACACAGTTGAGATATAGGTTCACCTTGGTGAGGTATGGTTTGTCACTTTTTTTACCTTAGGCCTACATAAAAGAAAAAGTTTATGCAAGCCCTGTCTTTTACACAAACAATCACGAGGACTTACCATATATCAAACATTAGGTTTGTCATTGCACTATCTCTACACTACTTATCATGGGAAACATCATACTTGGGGTATGAGTTAACCTTGGTGGGACAGTGTGAAAAATGCATCAAAAGGAGGTCATACTGACCTACATTTTGACCTTTGACCTACATCAAAGAAAAATGTTTGTCTGTGGTTCTATCTTGTACACTTCTAGTCTCTAGAACTTCATATTTGTTGTACAGGTTCACCTTGTTGAGAGTGTTAATGGTGGACTGTAATTAACCACTCATAAAGTGATAATCTCACTCTTACAATTACATTTAGTTACTTAATCAATGATCATGGTACATGTAGAAGCTGGTGGTTCAATTAAAGCATGATGAACAAGACCCTTTAACCAGGTGATCATACATGAATTAACATATCCTTTTGACCAATGTACTACTGCATGTTTCTGTTTAGAAAAATAAGTTTGGACAGAAAGTAATAAGGGATATTTACCTATCATGAATTGATGTCACAGTTATGATATGGAATGTGCTGAATGCAGTTGTTACAGATATAGCAGATTTCAGTTTCACACGGGAGTACAGTCATCTTCTAGCTTTGTGCTGTAGAAAATTTCCCTTTTACTTGCAAGGGACCATGTATTTGATCCCTAACGAAGTCACACTACTCCTTTCCTGATTCATTTGGTGCCACAGACCACTGGTAGTCAAATCTAGAGGACATTTAGGGGCTTTCTTTGGGCTAAGAAACCATGTTGATGTGGTGTTTGGTGGCAAACACATAAGAAGCGGTCAGTAGTGTGGCAGCTTTTATTTGCTCGTAGGAGCACTAGAGGAAATATTCCTTTAGTTTGATAGGTACAGTGATGGACTCGTAAGCCAGGAGTTGTGGATTTGATTGCCAGTGGATGCAATCTACTCGTTTCCTGTTACACCAGATATAAAACATTCATAATTGTTATTTGTTAAGTGAATAGTGTATAGAGTAGTATTTCAATTTTTCAGAACCAGATAGGATTGCTACCTCACAAAAAAAGAAAAAAAAAGACAGGAAGGATGGTTTCATTTGTAATCTGTAAATATGCTAAACCTGATACAGCATTGATTCCCATTGATGTGATGTACAACCATCCCACTAGTGCTATGAAATCAATTGAGATTTAGCTACCATCCCACTGATGTAAGATATATTGTAACCCCACTCATGTGATATATTAGTAACTACACTGTAGATGTACTGCTAGAGCCACTGATGTAAAATGTTGAATGGTACATTGAGACAGGAAGTAAAATTACAAATATTGTATCAATACAAATAATTTTGTCATGGAAGAACAGGTTAATCTGAACACAACATACCCTGGTAATCTATCTGTCAGTGTTGGTATAAGGGAAGTGAAGTATTATGACATGGATACAAGAAGGAGTTCCAACTGCGTGATACGGCAACTTCACACCCACAGCTGGTGTTGTCCTTTATTTACCGATGATGTCCAACACAGGGATGAAATATAACCATACATATAGTTCTCAAGAGAATTGGGATACCCTTGAGTGGTAAAGTTACAGTTAATCCAACTTATCCACACACATGTTATTATCGATAATCAATGTTTTTGTAATTGGACAAAATAGAGCTGCCAAACCCTTATTTTCCACATATTGACCAACAGCAACTATTTCATAAATTCTTTGTAAGCCCCAAACAATGTTTCAGTAATCAATTGTGATTCTGTATCACTACATCATAGCATACTACTACAACCAGTACTTTGTCATTAATGTTCAATAAAGATAATAACCATAGGTTAGAATGTCAGCAAATAATCAATTATCATAAATTGATTAATTCTCAATTGAGTCAATGATTACAGATATTTGCTAATAATTAGAATGTAAAAAACTTTTTCTACTTGAAAATGATTACAGAAAATTAGATATAACTACCAAAAAATATTACCAAAAATTTGTGCTAAATGCAAGCAGTTGCAAACAAAATTCATGGAAAGCTTGTTCAAACACAAAATCCATGAATTTGCTGATTACAAAAATGCAGTTAGTAAAAGTTGAACCAAGAACATGTCGAATGGGATACGATCAATAATTTGGATTTCCAAATAGTCGTGATTTGGCATAAACAATAAAATTTATTAATTAATCATTGAAAATTCCTATGAAGGCTAAGAACAAAAGTGTACGATAGAACTCAATCCTGTTTCATTGTTATACAGGTATCATGTGGTATCAATAGAATGAGAATGGGCTTGTATTAAAGTAGTAAAGCTTGATGGGCTAGACTAAATATATATGTTGGTATATAGTATAATAGTTGTCATTACTATATTGTTATCTTGGTCCACTTTGACATTTAGAAAGTTTTATGAAGTTCCTGATATTTGAATAAACCATTATCTAACATCAATGGTCACTAGTCAACAATTTCTACTGCATTTTATATTACAACATCAGGTTAACTTCAACCATCATGTTTCCTTGAAGGTTCATAATGATGGGATGAAAATGGTGACTGTAGTTGTTTGGTGTAAACTACATGAACATAATCAGGGTCACTGTGGCTAGTCAGATGTTGAATCATTTGCCTGAAGTAACCTGGCTTTGTTAATCTTTTGTGAGGCTGTTAGGCATGCTCTTCAATCTGTCTGTTACCTTTTTAATTGAGTTTCTATTTGTCCTACTTCACCTATCTCAACTCAACACACGTTGACTAAGTTTGTATGTCTGAAACTAAAATTGCCAAAATTATAATAAATGATCCAGTTAACTTGAGACTGAGAAAAAAATACTTTAACCCTATTTACAAGTCAAAAATCTCAAATTCTTCAGTCTTACAAGTTAACGGTATTCGTGTAGATATAGCTACTTAGGAAATGAATCTGAATTAATTAATTTGATCTGGCAGTAAATCTTATGTCACAGGGATCAGAACTTGAGTTAAACTTTCAAACAACTTCTTCTTCAGGTCCAGAAGGACTAGAATCTGTGATATTTATAAATACTCCCTGGTTACTAACAGTGTATCATTCATTTAAAGAAAAAGAAAAATCCAAAGAGAGAGCCAATGTGGCTTAGGGTTCAGTGATGTAAAGTCATCAACCACTAGGATATGCAAGGGTATGCAGGGCGTCCCACTAACGGTAATAATAAATTTAGGAAGCGGTGGGACACAACAAGTCGAGGATGGAAGGTTCAGGGTTTATTTACTGTTAACTCGAGTTTCGCCTGTGAAGGCTTCGACGGGACCAACTCGAGTCAACAGTATATAAACCTCGAACCAATCATCCCCGACTTCTTGTGTCCCACCACTTCCTAGATTCGTTTAAAGAAATGACACTTGTGTACTAGGAATGATTCACAAGGTTTTGTCTTCTTGTATTGGGTTTGTTTACAATAAAACAGTAACATAATGCTCTCAGAATAATAGATTGTGTGATAGATACTGTAAAATCATATGTTTTCGTGGAGCTTAATTTTCATGGTTTTTCAAAAAAACCCTTTTTTGTGGACATTTGATAACGGAGATAACTACAGCTCATTTAATCCACATCAACTTACTTAAACATTTTATGGACATAAATTTGTGGATCAAGTGTAACCTGAAATCATCAAAAATACAACGTCCATGATAATGATTTTACACTAGGTAGTGTGAGTGAAATGAACAGACATCATAATACCACCACTTCATGCTGAATCTGCTGTCCAATTGCATTGTTGGTAGTAAATGACATTTCAAACATCAGATAACACACTTTGTGCTTGACAAACAGATGTTAGATATTGAGAAATTATGTGACTGCTTTATCAGGAGATTTCTGTCATTTTAACCCTTCTCGCAATCTCCATCATTGTTGTTCAGAAGAACATGTTAGGAAAGGACAAACAGATAAATGAAGTCATCCCCTATCTTAATGCCACAGATAACAGAGACAGTAAAAGCAGGCCTTGTTTCTGTTGTCACTCCTTGTTACGTGCATGTATCTCCCAGGGGAGACAACTTGTACATGATGATGTGTGACTTAGTATCATGGTACTTACCTTGTTATGATCTCGTATAAATAATAAATGAAAAATAAAAGTAAACAAATTTTTATTGCGAGATAAAGTTTGAAATAATTGTCATTGCCAAACAGTATTGCAGATACAAGTACATTCTGTTAAATTAATACCTTAGAACTAGATTTTTATTGCAGGATTTTTACCATGTGTTGAATCTCTCTGGACTGACCAATGTTTACATTAAATTGTATATAAAACTAGTGAGGACATGCCCTAATGAATGACATGTTTGATATCGGAGAAAGATAACGTGGCTGGGGAATAGCAATGTGTGGGATACCAATAACACCTCTGACTGATAAATGGTGAAGATTGTACTTAAATGTGTCAGTTTGATTGAATACTCAATGATCTGATGATGGTGGGAATATCTGATATCAGCAGACGTTGATCACTTACTAAATAATACCAAATTAATGCACAAAGCAGTTTTATCAAACAAAACATTCATCTTGTCATGTCAATTGATTTTTAAGTCTGTAACATCTCCTGTGTAGATGTCTATGAGAGAAGTAATGTTATTGAAGGCCTTTGATTATCACAGTCCTTGTGGCCATGAATGATGGTGTAACGCCATCATCATGTCAATGTTAATTGTAAAACACTTGGTCATTTGTAATCATCAGGAAAACAGACTGATAATGATATAAAGCCAGTGGAATAACTGGGTGATTAAGGAACAGAGAGACATGTATACATGTATTCATCTAAATGACCTTGTCACGTTCACACTGACAAGTCTTTGTCAAATTTTTAACAACTTAAATTATCAAGTAAACATGTAAAGGCATATGATATAGTCATATAGTCTGTTGAGGATACACTATTTGGGCAGTGAATGACAGAGATGAAAGACTTCTAAAGTTGTTCAAATGTCCTAGAAGTCATGTTATGATAAGTAAATTACAATTTCGGCTCACTAAAGTTGTGAAGAAACTCGCAAAATGAAAGAGGCATAAACTATTTCTACAAAGTGGATTATCTTAACTTTTTTTCCTGCATTACATGCATATATATACTAAGAAGGTCATGACATCTCTTCGTACTCAAGTTCAGGGATGGGCTTATTACTGGACAATGAAATAACGTTACTGGTAGGTTACCATTTAACTGATCAGTTCTATATGCGAGTGGGATTGATTGCCACATTAATAAAGTAACTCATTTTTATGGTAAAAAAAAAGAACGAAAAGGTTGAAAAGATACAGAGATAAATGTTGACCTGGCTTAGTAGTTGTGTCAAGTTTGTCGGAACTACCTGGACCAACTTTAATGGTTTTTATACTGTAAAATAAGTAAAATATCTTTTCCAATTCAAAATAATATCATTATCAACATTTCAAAAATCCAAACTAAAAACACTGAAGTTCTGCGCAAAACCTTTACGGCAGTACAACATTCTATGTTAACAATATCAATTACACAGCAGACTTAAGGTTCTCAGGGACATTCACTGCTTATGTTATATCAGTAAGACCTCAAAATAAATTTTTTCTCAATTGTAAGTTTTACCAGTATTCTGCTATATGATACTCTCAGATGGCAGCTTAGATACTGGAATCTTTAGAAATCTTTGAGTTGTTACAAGTTATTGAACTACGATTCATTCACATGCTTTACTGTCAGCATGGCACTTCTTGCCATGTTGTCATCTTTTTGTCGGAAAATATTGCATTTTCCCGGTGTTCTCCGAGGACACAACTTTTCAAAACAGATTGATCGGAATTGCCTATCACCAACAATATAAATGATGGGGTTAACTACATTATTGATGAAATAAGATCGATACAGGAGGGGTAAGGACCCAAGGACCAGCTGACTGGGGGCCAGCAGGGTTTTTGTCTGCTTGAGAGTTGATAGGGTGGTAATAACAAAATGGGGTAGGTAACTTATTAGAAATGCGACAGAGATCGCCATCATGATTTTGGTGACTTTTTTACTTTTCTGCACAAGTCTTAAGCCTCTGTCACTGCCAGTATGAGATGGCTGTGTAGAATGTTTATATAAACTCCTCACAATGAGAGAATACAGAATTATCAACAGCACAAAACTTACCAGGAAAATCACCAGCTGAGTCACAGTATAGATAAAAGGTATTTTAGTATTTCTCACGGCATCTGTCACAGAGCAGTCATACCCGGTGACATTGCCAGGGAAATGTTCAACAATAGTGCCACTGATGGCTGCCTTAGGCCACGATATAAGAAGGGTTAGAAGAATAGCAATGCTGCAGTAGAGGTAAGTGTTTTTGGGTGGTGCATGGCTGAAACCTGGACCACAGACACGACGGTGACGCTCGATTGCCATCAGTGTTATGACAAAAGCTGAACCAATCTTTGCCATGTTGCCAATGAAGCGTTGAATTTTGCAAAATATGTCGCTGTAAAACATGTATGGCCAGTAGTTGTCCACCAATTCTGCAGGCATACTAACACAGCAGGCAAGCATATCCAGTACAGCAAGACAGAGGATGTACAGACGTAGATCAGATCGACTGTACCGAAAAATGTACACAAATAAAACAACACTGTTGCCCAGGATCCCTAGGACAATGAGAACACAAAGGTACACAACCGTAGGCAGTCTTTGTTTGGACTCATGGTGAGATATTTCCTGTAGAGTCAGCACTTGACTTATGTTGGCGGACATTGTCACCACTAAAGCTATCTGTCTGATCTCTATTGATCAGCTGGAATTTTTGGTCAGGTGTATTGACAGCAATCTCTGATTAGGTTTCTTCTTTGTATCTGGTACATTCTTACGTAAACTGTGTTTAAGATTGATTCTCCATGTAATCGTTTGACATGTCTTTCTTCTTTTCGTTGTATTTGATACTATCCAAGAACTTTTCCTTTCATTGACAGGAGGTTCACTACTGAAAAAAGCCATACTAATTAGAATTTGTAAAAGATATATCACCATTCATCTGGAAGAGATCTTTTACTTAATCATTATTTGGCAATACACTTCAGAGACCCCTTACAATGTGTCTACAAATTTAACATCAATGCTATCATTGACTGTTAGTGTTAATGCCTGTTTAGTGGGTTTTGTTAATTACAAAAGGCCCACTACTTGTACTCGACTGACATTGGTGGTAGATACAGCTGTGTATATCATACAAAATAACATTCATATCAACTCTACTGTCTACACTGATGACTGAGATGCTGTAATATACAAGCTACCACATGTGGCAGTCATGAACCTGTTAATGCTATTCTCTGTCAGCATCAGCTTAACCTCATTGCCATCCCACATCAGAGGTGATCTAAATGATTATGATGCCCTTGTATTCACTTCACTCAATATTCACCCTTTTAGTCCTGGTTGTAAACTTAACATTCATGTTCAAGTGGTTCATTTTGTGGGGTTTTTTCCATCAAAATTTGATTAACAAGTAAGACAAAAATAAACAGAAAAGATCACAACGAAGTGTTTCTATAAGTAACTAAGGTGTTTTATCAATCATTATTTAGTGGTTTATCAACCCTGCTTCTAAAAACATGTATATGTAGAGATTATAAATATTTAAATTTCCTTACTGCACTCACTAGTGATTGGACTAGATTATGAAATTTAATTGCAGGAATAAAATTTAGTTCCATGAAAACGTGAAGAGTTTGGTAAACTCCCTTTAGTACTTTAAACAAGTTATCTATTCTCATCCTCTATAATTGAGGAAAGATTCTGACATGGAAGCTAACATGTACAGATATCACGAAGTCTCAATCATCAGTGTAATACATTATCAATTAGTAGCAGATAACATATGTAGGAAATCTCAACCATCAGTGTACTACCTTATCAATAAGTACCAGAAAACACATGTACAGGTCAAATACTTTAACATATTATGTTTCATATTGTCCACAGATTTTATTCACTAGAATTTCATCCTATTGCTCTTAGTGTATTTATATTCAAATCAATTTGAACAACAGCTGTAACACTGAGGCATAATGTCAGATTAGAGTAAACTTTTTAACTCATAGTTAGATACTTTAAAACAATAAAAAAACACATTTGGAATGTTTACATATCTGATAATATGCAATCAGTTTCAATGTATTAAAATAAAGTTTTTAGATAACAGATGTACTTGCCTCTACATGAACACCAATCGTAGCAGCCGTCAGAATCCCTCTGGCTCTGCTCCAAACACAACTACAGCTTTAACTCATGGACTCCATATCAAAACAGTAAACTTATCTCCAAGCTACGGCCAATTCAATACTACTTACTGCTCTCAAAAATTTTGTGTATACTCTATGGTAAAATCATTTATCTCCGGTATCATTCTTGTTCCTCTGTGGCGGGTATTGATCGACTGTTCCCTGTTTTAATTAATGAAAGTATACTTGCCCTTTTATATTTTCTCACAATGTAAATCCAGCAGTTTGAACATCTAGTTATACAAACACCTCAGAGCACCTGTTACTGATCTCAATGTTTCTCTCTCAGTTGTGAATATTAAAGCAGTATAGCAGTGACCAGTAGCACTCACAGCCGTTGCATTGATTGATAACAGCAAACATGCTCTGTAGCTCCAAGGTACCAACTTAAATGCCAATCGTTCAGTGTATTCATGCTAAGCCTCCCACCTGTCATGATGACAGACATCCTAACATGTAGCTTTGGTAATGTCTCCAGAATTTCTATGATAATGTGACAATCGGATGTCCATTAGACTTAAGCTGGTCACTGCTTCAGCCAGCTCCTTATATAGGTCTTTCAGGAGATAAAATTGACTGAAGTTGGGATGACAAAAACATCAATCATGAGAGCTTATACAAATTTTTATTTTTTTTTTCTAAATTTCTAAATTATATACTTGAATGCTACGATATTGACACTACCTCAACATTCCGTCCAAATTCATACTGTTATATCCCCTTTGTCCATTATCACCTTTAGAACAAATAGTTGATTTATCAATGGCTAGAACCATGGTGTAAACAATATTGACAGGTTTACCTAATGTAAAGCTGCAGCCTAGATTCAAAAGATGCTTCATCAGTTATGCAATTTTGATGGTGCTCTTTATGTGTTCTGTGTACAGATACTGAATGTCATTCATATTATTTGTTGTTGTCAAACCATAGATTTTTCCTAATAGATTCTAGTCCATGTGGACAAATATTTATATTCCCACAAACCCTGACATAGCACATCATCATTAAATTAACTATTCTTTTCAGATTTTCTACTGAATGATTTTTAACAGCTCAGTCCGAGTTAGATTTCATCTCTATGTAATCAGATATCAATATGAACTAGTAACAGTTTTTAATCAAATGTTTTTTACCCTTTAATGACAAGAATACTAATTCGGTATTCTAATTTTGTCAACAAATGAACGAATTGAGCGGTTTAAATGGGTAGTCGTTTTGAGGCATCAGCTAGATTTTGTGGCTTTATGGTTGAGTGCCTTTGTTTATAGACATACATGTACTGAAGTAGGAAACAACCTCATGGATGGATGATTGTTTTGTTCCTATCATATTCATCATTCTCCTCTGTGCAGAATTTTTTTTTTTTTTTTTTATTTTTCAAAACATTTTTCAACATGTATTGACAAATAAACAGAACCATACACACATCTTTACAAACATCATCATCATCACCACAGTAATCATCATCATCATCACTACCATGATCATGATAATTATCATCCATTCATCATCATCATCATCATCATCATCATCATCACTACCATGATCATGATAATTATCATCCATTCATCATCATCATCATCATCATCATCATCATCACTACCATGATCATGATAATTATCATCCATTCATCAACATCATCATCATCATCATCATCATCACTACCATGATCATGATAATTATCATCCATTCATCATCATCATCATCATCATCATCATCACTACCATGATCATGATAATTATCATCCATTCATCATCATCATCATCATCATCATCATCATCATCATCATCACTACCATGATCATGATAATTATCATCCATTCATCATCATCATCATCATCATCATCATCATCATCATCATCATCATCACTACCATGATCATGATAATTATCATCCATTCATCATCATCATCATCATCATCATCATCATCATCACTACCATGATCATGATATGTGCAGAATTTTTTGATAAAATATTGTTTCGATATTGCCTGATGAGGATATTTTTTTTATATTTCAGATTTCAACGGATTAGACGTGGAAATCTCTGAGATATCAAAAAATCTAAAACCTAAGGTGAACAAACTAAGGGACATGGAACACAAAGAAGAAGCCAAGGGATTCGGTCTCACTTCCTTGTCCAGGGATGAGATTCAGGCTGTAGAAGCACTCTTATGATGTCTGTACATCTACAAAGCTGGACTCCAATACTGTTACTGACCACTTGATCTTCTGTATTATTAGTTTTTCCATAGATACATCTCAGGTGTTCCAGTTAGAAGTCAATTGACTTTGGAAGTAGTGGGTGTCATAGGCAGTACTTTTATATACCAGACTTATAGAGAACATTGAAATTGTCATCATATATCAGTATCTATTACAGTTAGAATAAAAATGATGTCCATAGTATTTTGTATGCAGTTTGAAACATTTTTATATCAGCTCAGTGACAAACTGATCACTTGACTTCTGTGTGAATCAGGTTTTCACAGAAACATCTCAGATGTTCAAATTGACTGATTGTACAGAAGTACATGGGCAGTAGTTTTATAGACCAAAACTTACAGGGAACATTGAAATTGTTCTTGTTTCAATAAGAATAAAAATGATGCTCATGGTTCCTATGGATACAAATTGAAACTATGCAAGTTCAATGACAAGCATCACAAGGACACATTGACTGGCTGGATCATACTTTACCAGTACTATGGTTTGGAAAACTGATAAGGTCAAAGTAATATGAGACATAAAACTATTGCTGCCTGGGTAATTCAGTCAGCCTGGAGAATACCGTCTTTACCACAAATAAGCCCCCACACCCAGTTAAAAAAAAGACTGTCAAAAGAGGGGAGGGGGCTTATTTCCCGCAACCCCCCTGTTCACGAGATGTACGTTTGTCCGCCATCTTGGATTTTTCGTCATAAGGAATGATAACTTGGCCTGTCTGTCATCAAAAATAACCAAAAGTCGCAAATAGGATCAATCATTTTATTAACAATGTAACAAAATATACTAAATAGCTAATCCTCCAGCCAGAATCCTCCGAATAGGAGAGTGTCGTCATCGGACTCGGCTGAATCAAATAAGCTGCTGTGGGCCAGTGTCGCATCAATTTCCTGCTGTAGGACCTCATCGATCTCGCGGACGTCCATGCTGACATCCTCACGAAGACGGCGCGACATCCTAGACAGTTACAGGCCACACACCTGTCCAGAATACGACGCACATCATCCGTGTTTGGTCCCCACACACGCGTCACCCTGGCAACTTCTCTCCCCTTGGACTGCAGTTGATAACTGGAGACGGCTCGACCCTCAGCACGTTCCTCCACTAACCAGTCAAACATGGCGTCGTCAATCTTAATGGACCTTGGTGCTGGGTTAGTGTCAAGCTTCTGCTTCTTGGAGTCTGTTCCTTTTCCATGGCCAAGGAGTTTCTTGAAGTCTCTGTCCCACTGTCTGACGAGTTTCCTGTCGACGGAGAATTCTCGTGTTGTCTGATGGAGATTTTGGCCATTTCCCGGAACCAGTTGACGATGTCCAACTTCTCCTTTACTGTGTAATGTCTTCGTGTAGCAGGCATGATGATTTGTGTCATGATTGGATTTTTACTCTCTAAGTAGCGACACTGATATGGCTTGGGACTCAGCAATTATGTTAACAACATTATCTTAATGCATTAACATTTCTGCATGTACAGCAAAAACATATGAAAATAATCACATTACCAATATGTGACAAAATAAGAACAAGAGGCCTAGCAGCCTTAACCATCACCTCATAAAAGCAATATTGAATATAAAGGTTAAAGGATATTATCAAGTTTCATGAAACAGAAATTGTGACACTGAATATAGTAAGCCAGTGTCAATGCATGCAAAACTGTCGTCCTATACTGATCATTCTCATAAAGTTATTTCCAGTGAAAAATAGCCAACAATTAGCTCAAAAATGCAATTTGACCCCTTTTGGCCCCGCCCATCAGTCCCACGGTGTCAGTCAGGATCAAAATGGGCATACCATCAAGCTGTCATCATTCACTCATAATTCTAACCAAGTTTGAAATGTTTTCAATGAAAATTAAACAAACTATGCTCAAAAATCTAGTTTTCCTATAAAAACTATTGTAAACTTTACCCCCTCCCCATAGGGAATGCTAGATCCTGGAGTCATGAAATTCACAATTTTGGTAAAGTGCCTTGAGATGCTTCCATTCATGAAGAGTATTTGATTCTAGCATATCCAAGTCAATTTGACCCCATCTGGCCCTGCCCCTCAGGCCCCTGGGGGGTGGGGAACTGTATAACTTACAATTTTGGTTGTTCATTTTAGGCCAAGGAAGGTTTTTTGCAAAATTTCATTGAAATCAGTGGTTTTTGAGAAGAAGTCGAAAATGTTGTTTACAGACGCACAATGCCAAATGAAGGTGATCACAATAGGTCACCATGAGATTTTGTCTCATGTGACCTAAAAGTGTAAAATATTTTGGTTAGTGTAACATCACATTAAATGGTATTTTCACATTTTCAGGTCATGTGACCATTTTCCTCCAACTTGTTAGGCTTAATCACCATGACACAACACAAAGTTGTGGTTTCCTGAACAGCAGGAAACTTCTTAGGAAGATGGCAAGATATGGTAATCCTGTGATGTCATTATTGTGGTCATGGGTATGACATTTCAGACCGATTGCTTTGAATAGCAAGTGGCTTCCACATTGTGTTCAGTAAGGTAGCTAAATGAGGAATTACTGCAAGGAGGAACTGGCACACAAAGTGATACTGGCCTATGACAGAGCAACAAACTCTGTAAAACAAACATTGGTGTGCCATGCAATAAAGCATTGTTTTCCATAGACAGATTTTAAACGCATCTTGCTTTGAAAACAAGAGGTTACAACATGAAGTGCCCACCATCATGTGACTTTTATAAAATGAATATCTTCCCTTCTTGCATTTTTTGTTTGGTCTTAATTATATGAAATTTGAGAATGATTCATCCTGAATACTAATCTCAAGATATAGCAATAACAAACTTTCACTGTCAAAGATCTACGATTATGGCCATCTTTTTGATACAGTAAACTGAGTCCTACGATGAAAAGTGTAAAACTAGAGACCAATTGTGATGACCAATAAACATGATATATACAAATTAAAACTTGTTTTAATACAATTTATGCAGGCATGCTGTGCATTCATTTGTATATAATAATTGTTTTGTTTTATTGGAAGGCACTTTAAGGGATAAGTGAGGCAGTCGCATGTATTACTCATGCGCAGTAATATGTGGCTATTTTTAGACGCTATATAAATAAATCACAAAGCTAATTTACTTCAGAAGCTGAAGATCAAGTATGGCGGATGAAGGTTCGTACAGTCAAGGTCATTTCTTTACCTTTAGCTCTCGCCTATGTTTTTTGAACATATCTATCTCTTTTTATATGATAAGTTTAGCCCACCTCCATCCCCTTTCTGCCTTCCTTTCAATTGTTATACAATACCATGTACTGTTGTATGTCTTTTCCTTGTATGTAGCATAATTAATTTCTGGGGTTTTTTTGTGTGTTAAGTGTGTTTGGCGGCGGGCTTGGACCCCCATCTAAGACTTTCTGTGATTTTATAATAATATATGTAAAATGTTGTATTTTTATAATAACCGTCGTTTAAGAAAATAAACGGCCAGATTCAATTCAAGCTAAAGTGTTGAGTCTTAACTTAAGTCTTACGAGCTTGCCATGATGGATGCCCTGTATAAAAACTCTTTATCACAACAAATACACAAGTTATCTCCCTTCAACATGAGAAATCTATATTCAAACATAGTAAAGATTTAAGCATGTTGACACTGTTGCAATTTTTCCAGGTTATTTCTAAAAGTGCACCACTTACTTTCAAAACAACATATGTGATGCTTGTCTCTACTGCACTCTCATGTAAACACGAGTATCAATGAAACTGATAAATGCTCCATGAAAACAACTTCACTGCACACAAAATTTTTGTGATTTCAGGCACTGAATTTGGTACACTGTTCATCCTCGTAATATGACCAATGTATACAACAAGTTTTATTATCTTAGTATTACTGAAAGTTATGCTCTGGATACAAAAGGTTTAATAAAGAGCTATAACTCCGTAATTAAGTAGATGTAGGCCATGAGTTTGGTGCACTGCACATCTCCCAATTATGACCAATATATACACCAAGTTTCATTATCCTAAGCTTAAATGAAAGTAAAGTTATGTTCTAGACACACATGAGTTACCAAAGGGCAATAGCTCTGTATTCAAGGAGTTGTAGGCCCTGTACCTGGTGTGCTGCACATTTTCTCAGTATGATCAAATTACTTATTTGATGCTGACAATCAACACTTTTACTGGAAGTTGCCTTCAAAAAGATGAACACTGCAATTATATATTTTATTATGTCTATATCAGTGTCGTCCACAAATTCCCTTTAAAGCAGAAAGTCAGGTCCACTCATATGTAGCATATATGGGTTTAAATCTAGTGTTCACATCTACACCAACCACCATATCTAGTTCAAGATCACACCATTCACTAAATCCATATTAAAATCAACACCTAAAACTAAACAGGATATCAAACTACCATTTACTAGCACACTGGTATTCAAATCCACACTGACCAGCTCCCCGAGTCTTGAACTGGATTCAAACCATTCCCAACAGGACCCTGGCAGAAGTCTTATTCTGATTCATGGTATCAGGCTGTGCAGTATTAACAAACTTCCCTTTCACCTAGACTTCCAGGATTTGATTCTCCAACCACATGGGTTTTCTCTTGGTAGACCAATTCCCTCCCACAGTAAAACCCCTCTTATGCATTCATCTGCGATTAGAAGTGATAAGGATAGCTTGACATCTTGTTTGAGAACTGTGGTGAAAAAATAAAGTTTACAATTTTCATTTCTTTTCCTGATGCTAAAGCATCACAGATTCCATACCACATCAGGTCATGTGTCACCTAATATCACATAATTTTGCTGCAGTTATAGGAGGACAACTGACCTAATCACATGTAGGCTTTCCACACATACGATTTCAGGCTTTCCACACATACGATTTCAGGCTTTCCACACATACGATTTCAGGCTTTCCACACATACGATTTCTCTATATTTTATTCTAATCTGTAGGTCCAGGAGCTGGATTCTCTATATCCAAAGAAGCAGTAAACCACTCGGGTAGAAATGCATACTTGGAGTTAGAAGGCAATCTCTGGCAGTTTATATCACAACCTGGCTCCCATTCCAGTAAATAGACAACACTGAAACAGATAGTTAAGAACATCGATACAAGAGAGAGCAATACAGACATCAGACATAGAGAAGTCTAACACAAAGGGTGGGCATCAATGATAGAGGAATAACACTATGATAGAGAGGGTGTTACACTATGATAGAGAGGGTGTAACACTTTGATAGAGAGGGTGTAACACTTTGATAGAGAGGGTGTAACACTTTGATAGAGAGGGTGTAACACTATGATAGAGAGGGTGTAACACTATGATGGAGACGGTGTAAAACTATGATAGAGAGGGTGTAACACTATGATTGAGAGCGTGTAACACTATGATAGAGAGAGTGTAACACTATGATAGAGAGGGCGTAACATTATAATAGAGAGGGAGTAACACTATGACAGAGAGGGCGTAACACTATGACAGAGAGTGAGTAACACTATGATAGAGAGTGTAACACTTTGATAGAGAGGGTGTAACACCATGATAGAGAGGATGTTACACTATGATAGAGAGGGTGTAACACTATGATAGAGAGAGTGTAACACTTTGATAGAGAGGGTGTAACACTTTGATAGAGAGAGTGTAACACTATAATAGAGAGGATGTTACACTATGATAGAGTGTGTAACACTATGATAGAGAGAGTGTAACACTATGATAGAGAGAGTGTAACACTATGATAGAGAGTGTGTAACACTATGATGTAACACAATAATACAGATGGTGTAACACTATGAGAGAGAGAGTGTAACACTATGATAGAGAGTATGTATCACTATGATAACACTATGATAGAGAGAGTGTAACACTATGATAGAGAGAGTGTAACACTATGATAGAGAGGGTGTAACACTATGATAGAGAGGGTGTAACACTATGATAGAGAGTGTGTAACACTATGATAGAGAGGGTGTAACACTATGATAGAGAGTGTGTAACACTATGATAGAGAGGGTGTAACACTATGATAGAGAGGGTGTAACACTATGATAGAGAGGGTGTAACACTATGATAGATAGAGAGTGTGTAACACTATGATAGAGAGGGTGTAACACTATGATAGAAATGGTGTAACACTATGAGAGAGAGATAGTGTAACACTATAATAGAGAGGATGTTACACTATGATAGAGTGTGTAACACTATGATAGAGAGAGTGTAACACTATGATAGATAACACTATGAGAGAGGGTGTAACACTATGATAGAGAGTGTGTAACACTATGATAGAGAGGGTGTAACACTATGATAGAGAGTGTGTAACACTATGATAGAGAGTGTGTAACACTATGATAGAGAGAGTGTAACACTTTGATAGAGAGGGTGTAACACTATGATAGAGAGTGTGTAACACTATGACAGAGAGAGTGTAACACAATAATACAGATGGTGTAACACTATGATAGAGAGGGTGTAACATTATGATAGAGAGTATGTATCACTATGATAGAGAGGATGTTACACTATGATAGAGAGTATGTATCACTATGATAGAGAGGGTGTAACACTATGATAGAGAGGGTGTAACATTATGATAGAGAGGGTGTAACACTATGATAGAGAGGGTGTAACACTATGATAGAGAGGGTGTAACACTATGATAGAGAGAGTGTAACACTATGATAGAGAGGGTGTAACACTATGATAGAGAGGGTGTAACACTATGATAGAGAGGGTGTAACACTATGATAGAAATGGTGTAACACTATGAGAGAGAGAGGGTGTAGCACTTTGAGAGAGAGGGTGTAACACTTTGATAGAGAGGGTGTAACACTATGATAGAAAGGATGTAACACTATTATAGAGATTGTGTAACACTATGATAGAGAGGGTGTAACACTATGATAGAAATGGTGTAACACTATGAGAGAGAGAGGGTGTAACACTATGATAGAGAGGATGTTACACCATGATAGAGAGAGTGTAACACTATGATAGAGAGGGTGTAACACTATGATAGAGAGGGTGTAACACTATGATAGAGAGAGTGTAACACTATGATAGAGAGGGAGTGAGGATGAGCGTTTGCTTACATGTTAAAATAAAATCAAGGAAACAAATGTCATTTGCAGTACATCATGTTATCTTTCAGTTTCTGTGACACTCAGTAAAGAGTTTGGAAATATCATATGTTTTACTTATATGGATGAAATTAATATTCCCATCTAAATCTCTAAATAATGACCAAACACTGTATTAAAACTACATGTAATGTTATGTTTAAAAAAATATTTTGAGGATTTGATTTTTATTTCCTCAAAGAGGTATTTATAAAAAAAATCAAATGTAGGACCATTGTATTTAGATATTAATTATTACAAACCAAAACCAAAATGCAAACTTTGCACCACACTGTTGACAAGCTTACTATTATTCCAGTGAGTATTCACAAACCAGGGATATGAATCTACAGGTGAATGTTACTGTATTCAATTTTTTTTAACTCTGTGTGGATTCAATTGATGACTACTGGTTAACCCAGCCCTAATTTACAGATTGGTTTTGAGATTCTTGAGTCTTTTAAACAGAGTTATCAATAACATTCATATTTATAGTAACAGTGACCTTGATCTTTGACCTTTTGCCCTGAAAAGCCATCCCAAACAAGGAGTTCGAGGTTGATCAGCCAAGGTGAACTAAAGTTATCATAAAAAAAACTTAGTGCAGACAATGATGCCAACATAGTACACTTTGTAATACCTATATGTTGATTTTGGTTGGTAGGAAACATAAAAAGGAGAGGAGCATGCAAAACATACAAACATATATTTCAGTTTATTTTCAATATTTCAAAAAAATTGTTTTAATTCCTGTCACTACGTTTCCAATTGTGACAGGAACGTATATCTGTGATAAATACATGTACCATATTTATTTGACAATAAGCCAATGTCTGGTGAAAAGCCCACTTATTTATATTGCAGTTCAGTAAACTTACCCAATGCTATTTCACTGTCTTGTAATAGGTCCACCTCCTGACTTTGAGTAAGAAGTAATATATATATTGGGCCCCAGAATTCCTGTAATAATCCCACCTTCTGACTGAGTAAGAAGTGCTATGTTGGTCCCCTGAATTCTTGTAATAAGCCCAATTCCTGACTGAGTAAGAAGTGCTATGTTGGTCCCCTGAATTCTTGTAATAAGCCCAATTCCTGACTGAGTAAGAAGTGCTATGTTGGTCCCCTGAATTCTTGTAATAAGCCCAATTCCTGACTGAGTAAGAAATAATATGTTGGTCCCTGAACTCCTGTAATAAGCCAAACTCATGACTGAGTATGAAGTGATATGTTGGCTCCCTGAATTCATGTAATAAGTCCATCTCCTCACTAGTAAGAAATAATATGTTGGCTCCCTGAATTCTTATAATTACCCCACCTCCTGAGTAGAAATAAGTAAAAAGTTGGCTCCCTGAATTCCTGCAATAAGCTTATCTCCTGACTGAATAAGAAGTAATATGTTTGAACCCTGGGCTTAATGCATGATTAATACTGTAATCTGTAATATTGTTTTTATAAACATCAAACACATAAAATTTTATAGGGTAAAAGGACAATGTTACCTGTGATCATTGGTTACAATGGTTTTCTTGATGAAACTAAGGAACTGGTCAAGAAAGTTGAAACAAACATTGGGTTTCCAGGGATCTCTCAGGTCCTAAAACAAAACAGGTAACATTAGCAAGAAATGTGTCATAGAAATATTCATATATATTATATAACGGGTTCTTATGTGATTAATCTTAGTCACGCTAAGTCTTAGTACAGTTTACAATAAATGTTTGTTGTATATAGGAATCCTACATTACTTACCTTGGCTATGTAAGGTAAGTCTGTTGTGTTAAAGGTATGTAATTTGTGTACTATCCCATCCCTATCACGGAAGCCAGACACTATCTGTCCAATGCCAACCAGAAAACTCTGGGCCCACCATTTGATCAGCTTGTATCTAGAATTCCCAGAAAACATGCATTAGGTTACAAAGGAAATAATTTTGATCTTTTCAATGAACAAATATATAGAATTAATATTAATAGAGGCAACTTCTCCAATATAATGTATGCAGCTTGTATCCAGTATACTTGACAATAGCTCAGACTACATGGTGGTATTCAAACAATAAAATGATAAGGTGTTTAGACAGAAAAAATATTCATACAAATAAAAATAAAAATTCAATATTATGTTTAAGTCAAAGAGACAATCCAATGAAATTTGTATATTCATATACACGTAATAAAATTTTTTATAAACCAATGTTCAAGTTTGCCTTTAACGTGGATCATTATCATGGTGAGAATTTGTGATCTGACCTTTTAAAGCTGAAATCTTGTTTCTGTGTCTCAATCTCAATGCTGGTTTTAAACTCCACATACTGATACTGTTCACCTGGATGTGCTTCTGAAATTGCTGCATCCACTTCACCACCATACACTGTAATACAAGACAGCTATTACTATATTAAACAATAACTATACCACCATACAGTAATGAGGATCAATTGATTTTATTTGCTGTTTTTCTCTATTGTAAGGAAAAGACAAAATTATTATCTTTCATTTATTCTATCTTTTTTGAAAATAAACAGAATTTGTGCAAGCGATTTAGGATTTTTTCATAGAAATTGTAAATACTTTGTAAATCTGAATCTTGCTCTTGAACATTTTCTTAATTCAGTATATAAATACATTTTTACGTACTTTATATCAGAATGCTAAGAAATGTTACCTAGAGAATGGGAATTTAACCTTGACCGCACAACAGAACAGAAACCCTCATTGGTGTTAACAAGACTATGAGTGTCTGGTGTACCATTTGGAGATCCTGAAAATACCATAGCTTGATTCTGAATGTCTATTGAAGATAATCATATTGTAAACAAGCAGGATAACATGTACAATAAATAAGTAATTATAAAACAAAAGATCATTTCTATGTCAAATTAAATAATCAAGGCACTTTCCCTATACATCATTAGCATATTTATATACCACAATTTCTTGATTGTGCATAAACATCCAAAATGTCAGAAAAACAGAGAAAATTTGGTTGAACTATTACATTTTTTATATGATTATGATTCATAAATCACAAAAAAGATACATTAAATATCTCATATTAATTCATTGTGTTACATCAGATTTTATTTAACTCCCTTCACTTTTCCATTTGTTTATACATAATCACATAATGTCAAAAAAAATAAAGTATGATTTAATTGTAACATGAAACTTTTATCATTTGATTATTTCCTTCTTTTTCTTTCAAGATTTTAGTACAGATGTACTTACTCGCCGTCACATACTGCTCAAATTTCCATCCCCAGTAACACATTTCATCTTGCATCCCACTCCTGTTTTTCTTCATCTCAGCATTTTTCTCTGTATCAAACTCGCACATGAAGAAAGTATTCTGGAAGCGTGTTATGGCTATTCTCCACCCCTCTGAGGTCTGAGAAGGTGTACACAGTAGTTTGGTCAGCAAGCCCCGCCAACACACAAAGTCGGTATTAATACCTCTGACCAATCAAAATAAAACTTTAATACTACATTTTTAAATCAAAATATTTCTGAATCAGTCATTTCCAAAAGAAAATATTCTAAAACAACATCTAATTAAGTTTTTTGATACATTAATCTGTTTGGGAACCACATGTTAGCTTCAGCATTTTCTCATCAAAATAGTTACTGAGTTAGCATTCTTTTAACTACTAGCTAGGTGAAATATTGCTGACATCATAGAAATAAGAATAGCATTTTTAGAAGAGAAAAAAACACATAGAAAATTAGACATATATACACATGAGCATAAATGGTAAAACTTCACAAATTACAAATGATTTCATCATAAAAAGTGTTAGTATTTCAAAATTTGAAGTATATGATGGTTTTAACAAGTCAAAAGGAAAATGTTAAATACCAGTATTTGTTTCTCTATAAAGCAAAAAAAAATTAATTGTGCACAAGCTCCTATTTTAAATCTAAAGAATTTGGCAATTGAAGCCAGAGTTTAGAGGTTCTGAACACAAAACTCTGTCTAGGACCAAAGTATTCTGTAACATGGTCCTTGCTGATTTTCCTCCCGTGTTTCGAAAAGTGTACAACTGCTAGTCATTTAAACCTAAATCTTGTGTTGATTTGTTCTGTCCTCAAGAGCACTTATTCCAGAGAAGATCTTACAACAGTGAGGTGCGCAGAAAGTTTGACTGATCTGATTCAGACTGGTAAGCAGATCTGTTCATGAGTATCTGTAGAGACTTTGTTTAGATCCATGGATCAAATCCAAGTCATGTGAGGTAATTGACCTGGATTTCAGACCAAGACCTCTGATCATGATGGAGTAACATGAAGTTACCTTGGGTCAACAGAGGGTATATCCATTGTTGCTGGTTTCAACTTATGAAGGTGTGGTTGTCTTCCAGTTTTCCACTACAGGCAATTTCCCTTGAACATGATAGATAGAATGACATACCACACTGCTCTTTTTCGGTTACATTTTGTGTCAAAGACCACTCTGAGTGCAAGCTAGAGTAGACTGAGATGCCTCATTGGAGCAAAAGTACCTTGATTAATGTGGCGTTGGGGGTTAATGCTATTAGAATACGGGAGAAGTGTAGCAGGTTTTAATAAGACAGGGGTTGCAGATTCAAAACCCACCTGGAGACACATTACTTCTTTACTGTTACACTAATCACCCTGTCCTACAGCATATGTTACATACTTACATCAAAGGCTTGTTGCTTTCTGTCTGTTGATTGCCAGGTTTGATTTTAAAAACAGAAAGATTACTCTTTATCCATCTCAGCAAATCATCAAGAAGTTCTGGTTTCGATTCATCTTTCCTGATGTAATCACTGTATCCCTTTCTAAGATCAAAACAAACATTACTGGAGTTCACTGGAGGAATGTAATATTTCATCTGCTTTCTACTTAATACCATTTGTCGTTGGCTGTCTTGTGAAAATGAACCAATTTCTATTGGTTTTCTGAAATATGGAAATTCAGTGTCATATTTAGATTTGGGATATAAGTCAAAGCATTTGGCGTATGACATGGCTAGAAATGTCTTCACAAACTACCTTGTTTACTCAAATGGTCAATGTCCGACAAGACAAAGTCGAACACGTATCATTAACAACGTGAACAGCACGTTGGTCCCATACGCTGTTGTGATGTCTTCATTAACAGAAAAACCACCGTTAAGGGGAAACACTCATAAAAACTTTCCGCCCAGGCACGTTTGTTTACACCCAAAATCCGGAAGTGCTTATTGACCAATCGGAACGTCAGCTTATATTTAGCCCTCAGCTTAAATATGGATGCGCCCTATGTTTTCGTCTGATGAAGAAATGTAGTGAAATTCCTGTAAAACAAAGTTTCTGGTTTTTAAATTGTGGTTATATGATATTTTGAAATAGATTGGACACTATGACATTTTGAAATTTACATTTTGGAGCACAGTAAAATAGTTTTATATGTTGTTATCGAAAAGTTATCGAGGGAAAGACCGTCGCCGCTTTCATTGTCCAGTTGTGAAATTCGAAACGTGTAAGTACTGACTCATACTATGCATAATGATAGTTGATAATGGTATAGAATTTCAGTTCTAACTTAAATCTTACAAAGGGACAGTGTCTATGATGTGTGCGTCCGTATGACAACACCCATGTGGTGCCTCTTACGACGGGAAAATATATAACAGTGACCTGAGTCAGTGAGTAATAGCACCTTCGTCGGGAATATTAGGATTAACTAGTTATACTGAAAAGGGTAAATCAATCCTTACTTTCTTTGTGTATGGATTTTGAATTTGAGTATACAATTTACGATTCCTGAACATTTCTATAGCGATATGGTTGATTTATGAACCACGTGGTCCTCCTACATTATACACTGATCCATGACTGATGTGAATGGCAAATACCAGTAGTGTATTGTAACAATAATAAACATGGCCCATCAGCATCATTCTAAATGTTATGCATGTTCTATTGTAGAACTAGTTATGAGTCGGAAGAGGACTCAGGCACTACCTGATATATATAAACCAAAACGAAGATTATGTTCTGCCACAGCATTAGCCAGTAATGGCCAAACAGCATCAATCAATACAACACATGGAGAAATCGGCGATGGTAAATACTATTGAAGTCATTTGGACCCATACCAATTTGTTTATAGCATTCTTAAACATTTTGATTGGCTTGATATATGTACCAGTATGTAGGAGAGAGATTTTTGTTTCTGTCCAAGTTCTAAAACGGTGTGCTTCATTAATATGTAACAAATGCTCATGTCCCTGTGGTTTTGGCAGATGATAAAACACAATAATGATACTAAGTGTGATTGAAGCCATTGATTAAATGAAGAATATAGAGGTGTTTGATTTATTCTTGCATTGAAATTCATAGCTGCTGCAAGGGATGTGAACATAATATACAAACTATGCTCCTTTTTTCCCTGAACAACAATACATGAGGGGTTCCAGACACATATCCTATATAGCTCTTGAAACACACACAAAATCACTAGCAGAACATGTACACTCATGTTTTTCTTATCTATTTTTTTTAAGTCTACCTTTTTAAAATATAATCAAAAAGATGCACTCTGTATATAAGCTTTTCACATGTGCACATCTCTGCATGAGTCCACTCCCCCTGCTTTTGCATGATTATCATTTTGACAGAGCTGATTGACATGAACAAGAAGTCAGTTTCTCCTACTGCATGGAGAAATATCAGTGATGGTAAATAAAGAGTGATAACCTTTAACTTAAAACACAAATATTACTCAAATAATGCATGAAAGGATTATGCTAAAGACCTCTGCAGAAAACAAAAACAAGGCTTGCTTTGAAGGCTTTTTGCTGAATATGTCAGGTTATTTTATCTCAGATTTTTTCATACAGTAATGTATGTAATACTGGAAACTTATGCCTTTTTATTTCAGTGATTCTAAATGACACCCATACCTTCTTGAATCGTCTGAAGGGTCTTTTCCCTGCTGACAAATTTAAGTATAAACTGCCACCTATTGTCCTGAAGCATCAGCTGTATGGTATGATGAATGATCGTACCAAAGTAGACCAGGAGCTGGTAAGATAAACTGACTGTGATATGAATCTTCTAAATTAGCAGGTAGTCTATGTGATACTTACACACTGAGCCATAGAGGTGTACTCTGGAGTCCTATTCCTAAATCCTGTCTGTTTGTATCTTTATGCAATTTCCATAGGGTATAAATGTTTAAAAGAAATTAGCATCTAATGAATTCCTTGTTTACTTCTTCATCAATTCATTGTAAATTCCAGTAAATGAGAAAGTTACATTTTTGTTGTTTCCTGAAACAGGGAATCATGCAGTGATGACAGAGGTTCATAATTGTTTCATTCTGAGATCCTAAGAAATTTCTGAATATGTGTATCTTTCCACAGTAATTAGCATGCTGTAATTAATTTCTGATTTACATTAAACTTGTGCAGAATGACCTAAGAAAACATGGATTAATCAAACTGTTCAAACTGGGATCAGAGGCAGATGAGTACTGCATTTTGTTTACCAATGACTATGAGGAGCATGTGAAGAAGACCATGGTGTCTTTGGCTATAAGTCCGATCTTAATTGGTAAGGTCAAAAACTCTCTTGTTTTTAACAAAATAGATATGGATTATTCAATTTATTTTAACAAACAAACTGGTAAATTCAAATCTTAATCGAACTTAATTTAATTTTTAATTATTAATTTCTGACAACGTTTATTATCTTTACAACATTGTATGTAATGATTTACAACAGCTGCTTCAGTGAACTTTTCAGTTTTTTGACTTCTGTTTTCTTCAGTTGAACTTCTTATTTTTTCCAATATGTTCTGCTTATGTAATTTCAGAGAGATTTAGTTCTAATGTTGTCAGAAAATGTCAAGATGTCTGTGTGACAAAGGAGACACTCATGATGGATTACAAATTCTCTGACTTTGAAATAACGTGAGTACAACTTCCTTATATGACAAAGTTCAACTATTAACAGCCATTGGAAAAGTTTAGTTATTGTATCCAATTTCAATTTCAACAATTTTTGACACATTTTTCTGTCTATTCATGTAATAAAATACAAGGTTGGAAGTGTGTAGGGCTGAAAAATGAAGACAAAGTTTGGTGTTCCAGACACATGAATGGAAACGATCCATCCGATATATTTTCCGCATCAACTTCCATTGAATGAGATGGTTTCTAACTCAGGAATAGTTAACTTGACTTACAATGTATTTTGCTACTTAGTAGGTAACAGTAGGACTTTTAGAAAAGATCATTGATTAACTTTTATATCAGGCAGTTTATGTAGATCAGTTCATTAGAAATGAGATAGAAAATAAGATGAGTAAAATCCTTAATGTCAGGAAATCAGAGAGACATTTGATACACGTGCAATGAAAAATGATAACAAATAGGCAAGTTTTCCATCAGTATACAACTAACTGGTGCATTGAATGAGCCATATATTTACATATGTTTAACATTTAAATAAATATATGATTTTAAAAAAGTTTGCTGGCACTGTTCTCTCTATGTTCAATTTTTGTCTCCTCTGTTGTAGACAACTACTAAAAGCTTCTGTGATAACTGTGAAAGATATCGGAAACTGGTGGTTGTCGATTCCAAATGCTGGCACATTTATGAAGTGTTTTCTGCGAGGCAGGAAAGCTGTCCTTACCATGATCAGGAAGTGTAAATACAAAGAGATACTTAGAAAGGTTTGCATACACCCAACTAATTCTTATTATGAAACATATACTCTGCAATTCACATGACGTCTGTCTATATTGACCTCTTTATGACCTAACAATCTTCACTGATTTTTTTATGACCTAGAAACCTATGTAAACAGACCCCTTAAATTTATGATGTAGAAATCTAAAATGAACCTGGATAAAAATCTAAGCAGATCCCCTTATGATAAAGTAACCTGTCGAAACTGGAACATTTATGATCAACAAACCTGTCAAAACTAGCACCATTATGACACAGTAACCAGTTTGAATTGGACTACAACTTACTCCAATCAGATCCCATACAAATTATTGTGATATGTGTAATGAAAACTGTTTTTAATTTCAAGTTCATTTTTCATAAGCCTTAAAGCCAACCATCATCAGATGGCGAGCTATTCAAATTTCTCTCTAACAGTGGTCCAACTGTTCATCCATGAAAAATTCTTGTACTAATGTTTCTTAAGGAGGACTGGATGGATCTGCCTAAAATTCCATATGTATGTGCCCATTCATCCTTAGTTTTGCCCTTTAGATTTTGGGAATGATTAGAAAAGAAAATGGCTGTCTGGCAACCTTCTTGGATTTCAATAATGAAAGTTTGTAAATGCTATTTCCTATGTAGGACTGGATGGATTTTTCTCAAATTTCATATGTAGGTTCCCTTTGGTCCATTGTTATACCCTTTTTATTTTTGGATTGATAAGAAAAACGGAAAGACTGAGAGGCAGCCAACTTTGATTTGGTAGTTGGCATATCATTATTTCTTAAGGAACTTTCATATAAGTAAGAACAAAAAGAAAGAAGAGAAAAGAAGGTAAATTATCCAACTTTTAACGAAAAAGTAAAGATCAAGCAATAGTGGTGGCCATATCCCTCTTGGTTTTTTTGTTTTTGTATCTCTTGTTTGCAATTTAATTAACTTTTGACTTTGACAATTTGTGTTATATTTAAATCTGTGTTTACAAGTGACATTTCTTGTGACTTTTGGAAATCATATTGACACGGGTTTTGTGTTGTTAAATGATTTACCAAACAACCCACACAAGTTCCCTCTGTTTTTCTAGGTTGAGATATGACTAACATCATATGTTAACAGATATCAAGACCCTGATTTCTGGAAAATAAGCTACCTTCACTTTGAGAGTGCTTTTTTTCACAGAGTAATATTGCATTTCCTTATGTCATCATTTTTTACTGATACATGATGAGGTGAAAACAGTTGAAATTCCCAATGGCCACAAGCGTAATAGTAAACTGATCTCTTTGTAAAGTGTTCATTTCCTGTTTTCATTATTATTAATGAAAGTTATTACAGTTTGTTGTTTTTTTAAAGGATCTAGAACATCGAAAATGGCCAAAGATCTGTCGCTTGGGTTTGATATACCACGTACATGATATAATAGGAGGAGAGTTAGTTCACTGGTAAGCACTGAATGGATTACAACTATTGTTTCATCATAAGCTTTGCTATAAAACCTTTTTTATTTTAATCAAAGAATGTGCCAGTTATATTTGGGTATGAATTGACAAAGGTAAAAGTTAATGTTACAACCAACCTGTATCAATACATGGTGTATTTATTTTCATTTGCATGGTGATCAAGTCGGGATATTTCAGAACATTTTCTTCAGGTTGGTAATGTCATCGGAATAGAAGTTCTTATTACACAACCAATAGAAGATTGCATGTTTGTACACCTTCTCCCTCAATATCTTTGATCCTTTGATATTTTGAGTTTATATCGAGTTGGGAATTGATATGAATTGTGCATTTTAATTGTTATTAAAAATGCTTACTTTAAACTTAGACCTTCAAACACAATGTTTTTCAGCATTCACATTTTATGAAGAATGGATGATATTTACCCACTTTTATTTTATTTTGTCAGTGTGCAGACTACCTCAGGACAACTATTAAGACTGAAAGAATGACAGAAGGTTATTTATGTGGAAAGAATGGCTGCATGATTGAGGGAATCTCAAAGTTGTTTTTCAGGAGAGTGAACAATGAAGAAACAGGTTGCAAGACACTTTGCGCCCGTTTACTTCAGCAAAGTTGTGATATTAGAAATGTTATAACACACTGATAATTTATAGATTTTAAACAGGGTCTAATATAACATATAAATCAATGCACTTTAATAATATAAAGCTTATGGGAACTTTTGTTCCAAAGAATAGTTGTTACGATTATGCCTCCATCAGTGATAATGAGCAGGTGAATTGCTTGTCACATTCACAACAAATGGAATATTGTATACCTTCTTCCTCAATACTTTGAACCTTTGATATTTTACACTGTTTTTTTTTTTAGTTACTGCTTTCCCACATAGGACATGTTGTAATGCACCTTAAACATATAATTTTGGTTCTTAGGAATCCAAAATGTGTTAATCAGGAAATGTTTCTTGATATGAAAAGAGTCAAACTGAAGTATTTTCTATTGAACATGTCTTGTTTCAGTCATATAGTATGTTGTTTTTGAACAGATGAAAGACAAAGGTTCTAGCGTATTATAAAATAACATTGTATGTATCAACACGTGTCACTTTTAACATTATTGAGAATGGTTTATTAGAACTTATTTCAATATTTCACATTTTCTACGACAGTGTACATGGACTTTCCATTTACATTCTTTTAAAAGTCACATAATATTGTTGTTTGTGTAGAGTGCCAAAGTTCATTCATCAGACATTCAGAATTGTTTTTCTCTAAAGAAGAAGAACTGGTGCTGGTGTTGTCAGTACAGTAGCTTGTTTTGTTCATATTTGGTAAGGAATTTTTCATTATTATTCAGCAAGATATAATAGGTGCTAGCATGATAATGTGTATGTTGTATCTAAGAAAAGGGGAGATAATTCAGGATGATGGAATGCAAAGAGGCTAAACAGATCGGCAGTATGAAAGGAATAAGACGAAAAAGTTTAACAAAAAGTATTATAGCTCTGACATGGTTAAGAGTCTAATAAAATATATATTATTTGCCTCTGTTAGCTTACCTTTTGAAAGGCAAGTGAGGTTGGGGCATGGTGTAGCATTCTTTTTTGGTCTTTTCACCTAGCATCGATTATTATTAAGTGTTTTCTTAAGGGTGAAGAATTGTAAAGCCATACTGTTAAAGTGATTAGAATGCTAAAATGAAGATTTTTCAAAAAAAAAAAAATGAACTCACCTACATTCAAGATCTTGATGTTGAAATGTGTGTATTAGAATGGTGTACATCAACTTTTAAAGTTACGAGAGTAAAATAAATTTTGAATCTTCAAACAAAGTATCTATTGATAAAATGTTCAGATAAAGATGCTGTTACTGTGAAGGTTGGAAAATCACAGAAGTGAGATGAGTTACAGGTCCACTAGATCTCTTCGTGTTTTATAGGTAATACAGGCCCTCTTCAATGTTCTATAGTTTACGTTACTGTTGTTGACCAAAACCTGTTGTTCACTGCCTTTTTGTGTGATTGTTAAAGGCTGTGGTTATCTGTTGCTGACAGAGTTATTTGTTCACTGACCGTTAATCTGTTATTTCTTCTGAAACTGTTTTCTGTCTGTCCTCCAGATATATAATTTTACAAGTTTAACATAGTCGAGACAAAAGGAGATGGGATTGATGGTAAGGGAAGCTGAAAATGAAAGTTTTTTGGTTCATATGAAAGCCTAATGAGCCTAAGGTGACATCAGAAGTAAAATTATATATTTACTGTGATATTTCTTAATTATGCATTAATTTTAAAGGGACTGAATGGTTAGATTTTGTTAAGTTTTTCTGTGCGTTTGATTTTGGGCAAGCATTGTAATACCTAAAATTAGACAATTCACAAAAATCATAGCACTTTTTGAGAAAAATTGATAATGATTATCAGCTTCAAACTAACACAGGTCGACACTCACGGTTGTGTCTACAGACATTTGCTGTTTTGATCGGAGATAGCCGAGTTTATCACTTTACCTTTCCGAACCTCGTTTTAGCCTACCGCATTGGTATGATTTCTAAATCTTGCACCATGCAAGTGCAAACACATTGTTTACACTCTCCAAATGATAATGATATGAATAGTGATGGGTCACTTCTATTTTGTTTAAGTTTTTTGACATTTTTGGTAACTTGCAAACTTGTAGATATTATAATTAGCAGAAAATGCATGACATTTAACAGATAATGAAATGTTATAATACTTTTTATCAGTTACGAAATGAACATCTAATCATTTAGTCCCTTTAATGCATTGCTCTCATTGTAAGAAATATTGACTTTTTTGTTCATGTGTCCTTACAAGTCAGTCTTCCTTACTAGACATGATTTCTGTACACCAGTGCCCTTACCAGCCAAGTTATCTGTGTAGTGGTGGCCTTACTGGGCATCATTTCTGTACACCAGTGCCCTTACCATCCAAGTTATCTGTGTAGAGGTGGCCTTACCAGGCATCATTTCTGTATACCAGTGCCCGTACCATCCAAGTTACCTGTGTAGTGGTGGCCTTACTGGGCATCATTTCTGTATACCAGTGCCCATACCAGCCAAGTTACCTGTGTAGTGGTGGCCTTACTAGTCCCTTTAATGCATTGCTCTCATTGTAAGAAATATTGACTTTTTTGTTCATGTGTCCTTACAAGTCAGTCTTCCTTATTAGACATGATTTCTGTAAACCAGTGCCCCTACCATCCAAGTTATCTGTGTAGTGGTGGCCTTACTAGGCATCATTTATGTATACTAGTGCCTTTACCAGCCAAGTTATCTGTGTAGAGGTGCCCTTACCATCCAAGTTATCTGTGTAGTGGTGGCCTTACCAGGCATCATTTCTGTACACCAGTGCCCTTACCAGCCAAGTTATCTGTGTAGAAGTGGCCTTACTAGACATCATTTCTGTACACCAGTGCCCTTACCAGCCAAGTTATCTGTGTAGAAGTGGCCTTACTAGACATGATTTCTGTATACTAGTGCCCTTACCATCCAAGTTATCTGTGTAGTGGTGGCCTTACCAGGCATCATTTCTGTACACCAGTGCCCTTACCAGCCAAGTTATCTGTGTAGAAGTGGCCTTACTAGACATCATTTCTGTACACCATTGCCCTTACCAGCCAAGTTATCTGTGTAGAGATATCCTGACTAGCCAGGCTTTCTGTGTACAGATATCCTGACTAGCCAGGCTTTCTGTGTAGAGATATCCTTACTAGCCAGGCTTTCTGTGTAGAGGTATCCTTACTAGCCAGGCTTTCTGTGTAAAGGGTATCCTGACTAGCAGGTTTTCTGTGTGGAGGTATCCTGACTAGCCAGGCTTTCTGTGTAGAGGTATCCTGACTAGCCAGGCTTTCTATGTAGAGATATCCTGACTAGCCAGGCTTTCTGTGTAGAGATATCCTTACTAGCCAGGCTTTCTGTGTAGAGGTATCCTGACTAGCCAGGGTTTCTATGTAGAGATATCCTGACTAGCCAGGCTTTCTGTGAAGAGATATCCTGACTAGCCAGGTTTTCTGTGTAGAGGTATCCTGACTAGCCAGGCTTTCTGTGTAGAGGTATCCTGACTAGCCAGGGTTTCTGTGTAGAGATATCCTTACTAGCCAGGCTTTCTGTGTAGAGATATCCTGACTAGCCAGGCTTTCTGTGTAGAGATATCCTGACAAGCCAGGCTTTCTGTGTAGAGGTATGCTGACTAGCAAGGCTTTCTGTGTAGATGTGCCCATACTATCCAGATTTACTATGTAAATTTGCTCAGTTTGTTTTTGGTTTTTTTTGTACTGGTGTACTTACTAGAATGTTTTTTTGTGCGTAAGACCAACCAGCTGTTCTATGTTGTCATCAGAAGATATATCTAAAACTACTAGCCAGATTTTTTCTGCATAAGTGTCTTTCATACACAGGCATTTATATTACATTGTTTTATAGCAATAAATCATATGGAAAGAGCATTAATGTTATTATAATAGAACTGTTGTATATTGAACAGAAGTATGTTGTATATATTGTAAGCTGACCTTCACTAGTATAGGTTAAGATGTCAATGCAGTATTATAGATATGGATTTGTAATGTCACCCGATTGCTAAGTGACAATTGTACCATAAGCTGTATCATCTGGTAAAGGCCAGTTTGTTTGTTTCAGTTTTATCATGTTGATTTACAAGGATTTTTTATTGGTACCTTCCACGCCTGTTTATAACTACAGATCTGTTGTTTTTGGTTTTATTATGCCCTTGTCATTTCAGGGGAGGGGGTCATGTAGTGTTACCCATTTCCGTCCATTGCATCCCAGCCTATTCCGAAACAGTGTCATATCTTGAGAATCACTCAACAGATTTGGTTCATGTTTATCTGATAATATCCCAACACATTTCAGATTCATGGAATATGCATGACTTAGACCTGATGTGTGAAACATAACTACTGTCAAATGTGTGAAGACTTCCAGGTGGTAAACTACAGTATCATGTCCACAGTTTGAATCTATTTATAAACAGAATTAGGAAATTTAGTGCTAAAATCTATGTTATTACACTTCAAATAACATCATATATTTATTGCTGGTATAATTAGGTAGAATATTTTCATGGTATTGTGTATGTAAAATTACTACTGTGGCCATATTTAGTACATTGTATACATTTAAAGTAATTTACCTTAATTCATAAAATGCCCAGAAATCAAAGGATTGGCAAAATATATTAGTATTATGATATCATATCAATAGTTTGGCATTCCTGAAAGTAATGAGATGGTTGTATGTTAGCAGTGAAGACATGTAATGTAAGGTCATAGGTCAAATTGAACATGTGACACAAGGTCATAGGTCATTAAGCTTGGACATGAATGTGATACATGGATCACAGATGATGTTGAACATTGTAAGATCACCAGTCATGGTGAACATGTATTTGTGTTTAGCAATTGACATTTTGCAAAGTGTCCTCTTGATCAAAATATTGTATGAAAATTGAATACCAAATTTGCTAAGGTGAATTTGACATCTTCCATGAAGCTAGAAATGAGATGTAAGGTTGCAAGTCATTGTGAACTTGTAGTTGAACATCATTGCTCAAGTTGACCATGTGACATATGAGGTCACAGGTAAAGGTGAACATGTGATGTAAGGCCAGAGGTCAAAGTGAACATGTAATTAGAGAACACTAGTCAAAGTGAACAAGTGAACAAGTGATGTGAGGTCAAAGGTCATGCTCGATCTATGGCATACAAGGTTACAGATCAAGATGAACAAATGATATGAGGTTCTACAGCTCAAGATAGATCTCTGGTGTGATTGATAATGTTAAATAAATTTGAAAGTGAAAATGTACGTGTAAGAAGAGTTGGATGTGCCGATATACCTTATATTTATTGTGTATCTGAATGTAGAGATGCTGAAGTTGTTAAATGTGAGGTAGTATTTAAGAAAGTATCACTTAGACTGAGATTGAAAGAAAAAATAATTTGTTTACTTTTTATAGCATATATTTATGTGTAAGTAGGTGATTAACAGATCTACAGAGAAATCACTGGGAGGTTAATTCATGCACTTAGGTTATTGTAGATATATGTTCAAGTGTTTTTACTGAGGTATTGTTGTGTAGCATTATCAAGACTTCTGGTATATTGAAAGTTACGGTACAAGTCCTAAACCAGTCCAAACACCTGCCTTTGTTTGAAACTATATGAATAAAAGTCGTTTGAAAATTGTCGTTATTATTTTGTTGGAGTTGCCCCTCCATTTTGGGACGATTTACGATATTGGACGATTTGTATATCCCAACACTGCCTATGTAAGATAAATATCTCTAATGTGGAACACATGTGTTTACTATCTTTTAATAACTTTTTCCCTTTTCTCTATATTTCACGGTGTAAATTTCCTTTTTTTTTCATTACTCACTTCTTGTTTTCACCACTTGCGATTCGAATAGAGGCACAATAAGAAAATGTCATTCATTTCTGTGCACATTCCACCAGCTTGCAGTGTTTGTTTAATGACAGGGAATACATCAACCCACTAGATAAGGTTTCTTACTCAGCAAAGCATCATGTTGGACTTTTGAAGCTGTTTTCATTCCGAGTGTGGAAGAATCTATTCTACTCACCTGTGGGTTGTAACTGGAGAGGATGACAATTTAGGTATCAAGTATCTAACCATTGATGTGAAATGTTCTTATCATAAAAGAATGTATTTGTACTAAAAGGTATGACGCCATGTAATTGTTTTCTGTCTGGGGGAATTAAAATAAAAGTGTTTTGAAAATCTTCTGACAAATTAAGATTTGAGTTGTATGTGAAAATAACAAAATACATTTTAGTCAGGTTATGGGTCTAGTTAAATGTTTTACAATAAATACCATCACACAAAAGGCTAAAAAAAATGGCTTTAAAGTTTTCTGAAGTGGTGCCGACAATTAAGTAGATGATATTGTAGTACAACCTTTTTGACTCAGAATTCACTTTATGATATGATTTTATGTGAGACCGCGTGGGGTACATTTTGTGTGTTTATTTGTAATGCGACTTTTGTACCAAAGTCATTGACGTCTGGGAGAATATGCTGATGCCACGTGCCCATTTAGAAACATGAATAAATTTTAGTTCTCACGTTTTAATATCTAGTTCGTCAGAGCTCGTCTTCAATAGTCCAACATTGTCAGTGTTGAAGATTGTACAAAAGACACAAGTGGATAACGCTTTTTAACACGAATTTACAATAAGATCAAGTAGAGCCAAACGATGAGTTACAATGAGATCAAGTATTTCAAAACGATGAGTTACAATGAGACCAAGTATTTCAAAACGATGAAATCAAGTATTTCAATACGATGAGATCAAGTAGAACCAAACGATGAGTTAACAGTATCATACAGTCGAGTCGTCCCTCAAGGACTCATCAATGATGTTGTTTTGTGAAAATGCACAAATTGTTTCATAAGAGGAACAGGTTTTGTTGATGACAGATCATACCGAACTGATTTTGCGTGGGGTTTACTTTTGCAATTAATGTTAACGTTCTTTCTTAAACAAATCAACTACGTATTAATAAAACATAATAATTGTATGAAACATATCTTATAACAATTGTTCCTACACTCGCCATCACATCAAAGTGTCTTCTCCTAATTGAAGAAACTTGCTAGCCAGAGAAACATTGGATCCTTGGACTTCTGAAAAATAGAGGTAACATTTTATTATAATGAAATAATAACTAGTAATATATCGCAAGGTCATAATATGTTCTATAACGATATGTTACAATGTATAATGTGGTTAGTGTTTTCCCTGGTACTAACCTCGATGGTTTGTTTCAAACAGTACGTTGGTGGTGTGAATATCGAAGGGTCTGCGATGCCCGGCTTGATATCGAGAACATCGGCGGCGCCTGCTCCAGCACTGCTAATCCTTGGCCAAATATTGGTGACGGTGAAATAGATCGGCATACAGTTTCTGCCATCTGTAATGGTCAAGTTTGTTTGATAAAGAAGGCTGTTTCAAGTGCAGATTAAAAATCTTCTATACCAAACTCCAGGTATACATATTGTGTGATATTGCCACATATCACTGAATATGATATCCATAGTGTTATTGTGATAATCCACACCACTCCTTTCCGTTTCAAAATGGCAAATAGATCTGTTTAAAAAAAGACCAGTGCTCTGTCACTCAAGTCACATGCGTCGGACCTCAATTATGGGACCGATTGTCCGAGCCCGGCGAAGAGCAACCAAGGAAATGGTAACAAGAACCGAACAACAGGTCCAAAAGTCATTGTCATGACTCTTTTACTTGCATCAACTATCCAGACGAACACACATTCATGCTGACATCACCTCTATCACTGTACCACATCTGTCTCACAGAAATTATTCCCAACAGAACCAAATGCATTATAGAAGCGAGCATAGAGCAAGGTCATTCAGGAGGTGACCATTGACACCAACAGTCCCGACGTCTGTCCAGATCCAACAGATGCGAGTTCGTCGCCAAGATATTCCTAACATACATCAACAACTACAGATCATCATGGATACTGGGACGCCCTGGCTACAGGCATTCGTATTTGTTGACTGATAACCATTAGCTATTGACACTCAAACATCTCAGGAACCCAACCACCCAAAAGCGAACTGTATTGAAGGTTGCCATTCCGCAAAGGCCCAATCACACCATTTGTGACTGAGGCTGTAGGGCGACCATCGCCCGGGCCACGAATCCTTTCATCAGACACCTGCTGCATATATTCAGGATCACTGATCTCTACAGGACGCCAGGTATTTCAAGATGACACCGCCAGGGCTGTATTTCTCGAAAGGACAACAATGTCTAACTCCTTTTCTGACTACAATGTATTATCTTGTAGACAGAGTTGGTCAACACATGGGTAGAGAACCGCAGACTGATACTCCCTCACTCCTTCCACCTCACACAATCGCAACCCTTCTATCATGAGACCAGAATTTCAAAGACCTCCCCTCGCCACACTGTCCATTGTTAATCGTTAAACGTAATGCGGACTCGTTTATCGTTATAGTGGGATAATCTGCATAATAAGCATTGTATTAATGACTCTATGCAAGGTGGTAGGACCAGCATGGCCTGTCAGTTGGAAAGGAAAGTGAATTATTTCAGGGTTGTCCACAGATTCAACCCGTGCAAGCTCAGAGCTTTGCAGATACATGGCCCTTTCAATACCAGCTTATAATTACGGCTATCCAGTAAACTGTGAAGGAAAAGCGGAGAAATCGACCATAGTCTTTTGCCGAAACGAAGCCCTTGTCCAATGTTCATAACGGCTACTCCTTGATAAATTGGACCCGTTCAGATAAAAGTTCTAAACACTTACCACTTGTATTCTTATCTCCAATGTAAGATGGGTACTGCATGACAAAGAACCCCTGGTTTTGTCCAGAACCGTCAATCTTCCATATAACTACGTGTATACATTGTTGTTATTTGAAAATTCGGAACAATGTGTGAATTGGAAAGAACGGGGCATTTGTTGTTGCAAGGTAACAGTTGCACTCTCTACAACAAAATGAGTGTCCTCTATTAAAGACAAGCCAACGGCCATTTGCGGCAGTGTTTTAAATGAATAAATTTAAAATAAATCTCAGCGATAATTTCAGTTAGCCTTTCTCCCAGTCTATGCACTCCCTCAATACATGGTATTTTTTAGTAGCTTCTACCGCTGTGCCACGATATAATATCCCATGATTTCACGGAAAAAATCTATCATCTTATCCTTCTCATCTGATACAAACAGAATGAAGCTATACTTTTCTTACACTAACTTTAGAATCGTTACCTTTGTAGGATGTCGCATAAATGTCGGAGAGGTAAAAACCTGGAAGAACTTGCATATTGGTTACCGGTATGTCTCCGACAATACGTCCGGCTGGAAAATTGTCGTTGGTATGAAAATCTGAAATCGATACTTCATTATTAGGTACTACTGTGTCTGTGAATAAAGGAATAGGTAAAAGGAAAAAGACGGTGTGAAGTAATATCAAATAGTACCTGAAGGACAATAAATAGTCATCGACGAGACCAAAAAAGGCGAAACCTATGCATGATGGAGTTTATTTCAATGCAGGGTTATACTATACCTAAAGAAGGTCAACATGGTAAAGGATTAGCTTTATTGTTAGTTGTTAATGAACAATGATTGTCAGTTTGATAAGGGGAACAGGTAAGAAAACAAAAATATCGTAAATATATATTAACTGAAAACCTTAAGCACAATATACAGTCATGTTGTCAGTTAACGCGGACTTCTCACACGTCTTATTCTCATAAACCAGGTACTGGAACCCCTGCAAAGTAAACAAAAACATCTCACGAAGTATGATGACCTCCACGAAGAATTATGACCCCACGAAGTATGATGACCCCCACGAAGAATTATGACCCCACGAAGTATCATGACCCCCATGTTTACACAATTTTGTGGATACATAATTTTTATTTGACTTTGAAAAATAATATCAAACGGCTCAGCTACGAATTTTTTTTCTTCATCGATTCATTACAGTTTCATGGAGTTGTGAACATTATACCATTGAAATGTTTTGTTCTCTTCCTTCAGATTATATATATGCAAAAGGACATGTGCTGATGATAATGACAAGATTGATAACAGTTTGTTAGAAGGGCATTTATGTTGTATGTCTGCACGCTTCTATGCCAGACGCTCCAATTGCTCACCATCAAGTACTACTCATGTAGTGTTTTATCTGACTCACCCTTTGAGTGATAGAAATGTGTACCTTTTGCTTACCTTTCTATAATCTGAGATGAGGCTACCGCGTGTACGTTCCGGTGGAGATCGGGCAGACCTCGTGTGTCTGTCGAAGCCGAGATATGTTCGGCCATTGTTTTCATCGTATGACACGCTGACAGTCCCGTTTATGATATACAAATCTATCTGATCCGAAGTATGTAATCCTGAGGCATTTCCTCTGTCCACTGCACCTATCTCAAAGTAAAGCATCCCCTCCCACTGATTCAGCATACAACATTTCGGCTCAGACGAGACATATGACAGGAAAATTAATACCAACCCTAAATGGAGCCTGGCCATTTTGAAACGTTTTTGTTTATTTGTATGTAGATATGTCTACCTGTCAGTAAATCCTTAGGTAGAAAGATTCAGATAGTATGGCGATAATCTCTCAAGGATAGAGTCTACCCGCCACTTACCTGTGATTAGATAAAAAGGTAAATTTCTAATCAACTTGAAATATTATTCACATGACTTTTTGCAACTATGCGTTCTTTTCAAATGGTTAAAGACAAGAGAAGACATTGACATTAACAAAATCAATATTCAATTTTAATGTCGATGTAACGAGGGAAAAGCATCTTCTACTTCAGTGAATGTGATTACCACGTCAAATCATCCTGCTGAAGGACGTCATACAATACAAGGTCTTCGATAAATTCTGCCTCATGTGTCTGCCAACAGAGGGACACAGTTAGTTTCCATATGTATGCCAATAGTCGGTTGAAAGGTCTTACCACTTAGGTAGACGAAAATTTTATAACCATTAACTCGATCATTTTTATTATTTCGCCCTCCGTATATTATCTCCTTGATTTGGGCGTATTTTCACGAAATACGCTTCGGTATAGTTCACAGCCATATATTTGTACAACTATTCATCTTTCTTGGAAAAGAAAGTTCTCATAACAAGAGAACGATTGTGTTCTTGCAGTTTAGTTTAGGATGGGGTAAGGTGGTGTACAGAGTTGGAAATCAAATGTTTTTATAGAAGAAATGTTATTTGAAGAAAGTATTGAAGCACTCTTTGGAGTTCATTAAAATGCATATGCTATTAATTTCAATTCTTGAGTAAACAATATTACAATTTGACTATAACTCGGATTTGATAATGTTCAAAATGGTGGTTAGTAATTTTAACACATACTTGATTGAACAGCTAGACAAGCCAACAATAAAACGTTGTTTAGATAGATTCTGTGAAGTTTAGGAATCCAATACAAACGGAAGAGGTCCAAATCCTTAACATTAAGAGGCAATTTTAAGTGTGGTAATACCGAAGTATCTATCATCGTATTTCTTGTTTTCAGATTTTCCTTCGTTGGCAAACATACATGTCATGTTAATCTTGAAGATTTGATTTAACATCAGGAAACAATTCAGCAAAGAGGAACATTCAGTTCTAATGGATATGCTATTAGTCTATAAAAGATCTCCACAAAAACTCAACGTCGTCAATATAAAGGTTATAAAGTTTATTTCATTTGACTTTAGACGTTCTTTTAATAACATAAGGAAATCATAACAAGGCAGATATTGAAGGCGTTCTTGAAATGTGATATCATAAGTCATAGTGGAAATGTAACGTAATGTCTTGGATCAAAGGTAGGATATATTTGTGTTCAACTATTGACGATTTACCAACTTTGTCCCCTTTATCAGTATATACCATAAAATGAAGATGAAATAAGACGTCTTCCATAAAGCTGAATATGTGATATGATGTGATGTGAAGTAAGATTGTAATGGGATATCACAGCTCAAGTTGACCTTGTGACATGTGAGGTCACAGGTCAAGTTGAAAATGTGATGTAAGAACAAAATTCAAGGTGAACATGTGGTTTGTGACTAATAGTCTATTGAACAAGTGATGTGAGGTCTAAGGTCGAGCTTGACGTGCGAGGTCACAGATGCAGATGTGAGGTTACAGCTCAAGATGGATCTCTGGTCTGGTGTATGAAGTAAAATAAATTTTAATTTCAATGAAAGTGAATATGGAAGTAGAAGAAGACCAAATTTTACCCATATACCTTTATTGCGCAACTCAATGTAGTAATGTTGAGGCTGTTGAATGTGTAGTAATATCTAAAGAAGTATCATTGAAAGTAAATACAATTTGGTTACTTTTACAGCAAATATTTACGTGTAACATATCCCCAACAAAGAAATCGTTTGAAGAATGATGTTAAATTCGTATAATACTCGAGTATTATTATGTTATGTTAACAAGAGTTCTGGTGAGTATATTTCAAAATATAGTCCTTAACCAGTCCAAATACCGGTCTATGTTTGAAAGATTTTGATGAAAATTTTCAGAATGTCGTCTATAATTGATTTTGTCTACACCACGTGCATATCAATAAGACCATATGAATTATCTCTTGTAGTCATTTTATCTGCAGTTCTAATTGAAGAGACTTGAAAGCCGGAGAAACATTGGATCTTTGGACCTCTGAAAAAATATATATAATTATGATTATTATATCAAAACCAGAACTTTTTCAAGAAAACGTAATTACCAGATGAAAGTTATACTTCTTTTACATCTTTCTAAAATATTCTAAAACAGGGTATACAAGATCTATTAAAAGGTATGACTGTTTTCCCTGGTACTAACCTCGGTGATTCGTTTTGGACAGTACGTTGGTGGTGTGAATATCGAAGGGTCTGCGATGTCCGGCTTGATATCAAGAATATCGGCGCCGCCTGCTCCAGCACTGTTAGTCCCTGGCCAGTTGTTAGTGATGGCCAAATAAAGCGGCATACATTGTGAACCAACTGTAATAGATTATAACGGTATATTTTAAAGTGAAAATCTAAAATGGCTATGTTTGATGTGTATAAGGAAATAAGGAAAACTTCCGTACATGTAGACCTTCAGTCAAAGCTTTTTACTTCTGGGTTATGATTGAATCCTTTATACTCCAGACATACATATCCATGGTATGATACAGATATCATAACAGTAGTGTTATGGCTGTACAAGATCTTTTTATTTGAAATTAATTATGTCTCCTCTAATTCTTCTACTGACAGACACACAGATGGAAATCATACTTTTACTATACCAATGTTCGAATTGTTACCTTTATATGTTGTTGTATAAATACTGGAGAAGAAATCACCTGGAAGAACTTCTACATTAGTTACCGGTGTATCTCCTACTATACGTCCGACTGGAAAGTTATCGTTTTTAAGAAAATCTGAAATGAATCGTACAGGGGTACCTTAGATATACTGTCTTTAGTAGAATTTACGTATTGGCAAGGATTTATCATCACTGACGAGGTTTAAAAACGTCTGCATGATGAAGTTAATTTCATTTGAGGGTCATACTGTACCTAATCTTACAGAAGGTCAATATGGTAAAGGGTTAGCGTTATCGTTAGTTGTGAATGAACAATGACTGTCAGATTGATAAGGGGAACAGGTAAGAAAACAAAAACGTCGCATATATATATATATATTAAATAATACCTGAAGCACAATATACAGTCATGTTGTCAGTTAACGCGGACTTCTCACACGTCTTATTTTCGTAAACCAGATACTGGAACCCCTGCAAAGAAGACAAGAACTCAAGTGTTTTGTATTGTATATTGTAACCCATATAACCTGAGTGGAAAAATAATATCCATACACTGTTGATGATTCAGAGCTGTTTAGGTGCTATACGCGTGTTCTATTAGAATACGGTGTTTAACTTGTGATTATGAAACATTTAGAACGAGGCGTTTGTAATCGTCCATGTGTTAATTTTCTATGACTCAGTGTCTCACATAAGACAAATTATTTAATGAACATCTCGCTGGGATGATAATGTACTATTATTACCATATTATAGTTACCTGCATTGATATCATCACGTGAAACCACGAACTTAATCAATTAAATTCTGAAATGGGTATTTCTTTTATCAACCCAGGTAATGCGATATATCATTATTGAAGTGAGATGTTTAAGTTTGAATTATTTTTTTAAAAAAATCATTTTATAGACACTTTTCATACCGATTTCTCTTAGTTACACAGGTTATACTGTGTAACAATGTTGCTTGCACTGGTTTAATGGGTGCACGATTCAGTGCAAAACGCTCTGATCACCTCCAATAACCACTCGTGTTGTGCTGTATCTCAAAATTTGATCTTATCAGCGGTAAAGTTTTGCTTACCTTTTTGTAATCGGAGATGAGGCTACCACGTGACCGTTCTGGTTGAGATTGGACAGACCTCGTGTATCTGTCGAAGCCGAAATATGTCCTGCCATTTTCTTGATCATATGACACATTGACAGTTCCGTTTGTAATATACAAATCTATCTTATCCGAACTATGTAATCCTGAGACATTACCTCTGTCCAGTGCACCTATCTCGAAATAAAGCATCCCCTCCCATTGGTTAAGCATACAACACTTCGGCTTAGACGATGCAGGTGACGTAACTGTTAACAGGAAAATCAATACAAACCCTAATTGAAGCTTTGTCATTTTGAAACACTGATCTATAAAGGTATATCATACAGAAGTGAATACTTAGGTAGAAGGGTTCAGAAACTGTTGTAATAATCTGTCGCCGATAGTGTGTCACTGCCACTGCGATTAGATAAAACTTTAACGCCAGCTTCACAACAACTAGAAATAACATACACACAGCTGTGATTTACAAGACAGACACCCCTAAAAAGTAACAGGATAATAGGATCATGCGTTCAGGAAGGGTACGTGTCATCTGCTTCATTGAAAATACTCACCATGGCAGTCGACGTCTCATCAAAATTATGCCAGGTTCTGACATGAGATATATAACAAAGTAACCATCAGACAAACTCACAAGCAGCAAACAAATCTAATAAAAAAATATATCATTTCTCAATGATATCATGACAAAGACCATAAACTTTCCCAATGACTCCATCTATCCAAATCATTTGCTTTTCTGTCAGCTTTCGACATATATCGCAAAAATTATGATAGAATAAGACACCGTATACAGAACTGTGACATTAAAGTATGAAGAATAGGGTCGCTTCTATTTTAAAATGGTAAGCTTGCCACAGGGAAATTAAAATCTTCCTGTCCATTATGCCTAGTTTTTGGTTAATAAATCTGATTAATATAAACAATAATTTAATTTGTAGTATCCATGAAAACTCCAGGGTCTGGAAACATCTGCATGGTACACTCTTGGGACTTACGTTTGTACAGACAAGAGGTCCATGGGTTTTAACGGTCATCTGACAATAAGACCTACATATGAAAGCGGCCAAATACGCCTAAAATAAATTGATCAACTACTCTACAGTTTTCATAGAAGACATTGTTGGTTCATTTCAAACATATATTCTTTATACATGCACTACACAATTGCCATTACTCCGCAGGTAATGCTTGTTGAAAAAACAAGCTTCATGCCTTATATCAAGACCCTTGGCCTTTCGATTATTCAGGAGATGTGATAACTGTGACCTTGAAAGTGGGTCATTCAACTGTCATTCATATTAATAAACTTAGTAGCTATTCATCCTAGCATGCTACAGGCTCAATAACAGCAACATGGACATTTTGGTTATTGAGAAGTCATATAAAAGTATTAACATATTTGACACCTATGAACTTGAAAGCGGGTCAAGGTCATTCATACCAGCATGTTTGGTAGACCTACATCCTAGCATGCTACATACCAAAATGTTGTTTAATTTCCCCTTTTAAGGCCTGCTCTGAAGTCCGTAGGAGTCGAATAAACTTTCTTAATTAAAGGAATGGTACACGGTGCGCGACGGACGGCACACGACGACGGAAGAAGCACGATGGCTTCAGGTCATCTTGAGCTTTCGGATCGTATGACCTAGAAATGAAGAGGATATTTGTATGCGCTAGCTGAGCGGTCCTCGGAACGTCGTACAAGTTTACAGAGTTTAAGGTTACCAAGGTGTGTCCGATCATTCTGCTGAAAGTCAACGTACACGAAATGATCAGTTAGTGTGAGATAGGATGATGCGTGAGGAAGCCATCGGTATTAGGATTCAACTATACATTGAGGAATAGGAAGGAACGAAGAATTAATTGCCACCAGATAAAGTACTAGTCAAAGAGAGACGGGAGACATATATGTTTTCCCGAAGTAACAGAACGATTGGACTGGAACAACGAGCAGCAGCATTAGCATATCAGTCTCTGGTTGGATCTGTTCAGCACTGTCGTTGTGCCTCAGGTTGACGTCATGGAAAGTTCTGGAACACATGAAAAAGAAGAAACACCTAATGATTATTCTAGCGTTTTCGAAGTATATGCCATATGTCATGTCATTTTCAATTTATCTTAAAGTGATCATGAAGGAAAAGCTATGTGTTCGCTATTTCAATATGCTTTTTGATAAATGGAAACAAAACTAATTCTGCTAAAGGAGGGGCACATTTAGTAATGATATTGTCACCCGGTTTCACCCACAGTTTATGCATTATTGACTTAAACCTTTTTTCACAAAATTTGCCACAGTGAATTCATTCACACTCAAGAAATTCTTGTGAAATGTAGACCAGATTTTGTACTAAATTAACACTTTATTCGGCTTTATTTGAATTTCAAGAAAACTCATGTAAATACAAGCATGTGGTCGATACCCGAAACTGGTCTTTTAGATTGTAAATAAGAATACATAATGTACTAATTTTACAGCCAAAAAATGGATAATCAAAGAAACTGGTATTGAATTTTGAATTTGGGAGGAGTTCCCGTATACACCTTTACACCATATTCTGTCAGGGTAGGAAATTCTTTAGAAGATAAAGTTCAAATTCAATAAAAACAAGGCGAAATATGAACAAAAGAAAGATTTACTCGAAAATTCGTGAAAAAGTACAAGGAGGATAAATTCAGATGTTCCGGAAGAGTAAGCGTTTTCTGCTTCATCGACGACACCCGCCATGTAAATCTTGTGTCAATCCAAGAAAGTAATGTCACTTCCTCAAATAATAACTGAAATTGTAATTGAACCAAGAATATAACTGGCAAGCATCCAACATGTCAAGCTACATATCAGCACTCCTCCATAACAATTATCCACGTTATTGGAAGATTTATTACTTCCTTCTGCGTCAAAATCTCAAATCAGAGTTCAAAACACAAGCGTCTATCGTGTCTTTCCAATTCTGATGGGTATATACGATGAACTTATTATTTAAAGACCATAAACCATCAATACATCTGAAAGAGAAATTACTCTTCTATCTTTCAAAATAAATCAAATGAAAATAAACAGTGGTTACAATGAAACCTTATACGCATGTGGGTCGGATGCCTAATTCAAACAAGATTTACTGGAGAAAAACGGAATTTGAAACGACATGTTCACAAAATGTGTTTAAAGGACAGTCGAGGTGTGTCAATTTCTCGAAAAAAGAACGGACAAAAACAAAACAAACATTCCATAAAAATAAGCAACGAATGCATCAAATTTCAAATTTACATACATGATGAAATTAATGAAAGTTATGAGAGTGATAGAGAGATAAGAACATCATCGACCAGATGTTGTTAGTAGCAACTGATGCAAAAACACAACAAGGAATAAATGGTTTGACATATATCAACTTTATTATTGTGAGAGGAAGACAGAATTTATTACAGTTTTTTATGAAAAAAACTGGCGAGTCCGAAGAATGACGTGTCGTCGATTTCCTGAAAACACAGAACAAAAAGAATATTTGATATAAGCTTGGATCTCTTGTCAGCTTTGAAAATAATATATCATCATTTTACAATATTCCAGATTACTGAAATCACGAAGTTGCGTATTCACGAAAGAACTAATTCTACATAACGCTAACTAAAATACCACAAATAATACAGGAATAACCAACATACCCCCGATAGGTTTTCTGGACAATACGATGGAGGCGAGAATACACTCGGGTCTTTGATACCCTGTTCTAAGTCCATGAAATCAGCACCACCATTAATTCCCAATCCGGGAGCTTTAATAAAGCCAGATGCAAACAATGGCATACAGTTGGAGCCATCTAAAGTAGAAAGCAAGGAGAGAACAAATGAGAGTTTTAAGACCTATACAGTCATATACAGACAAGTTTTTTGTTTGTTTGTTTGTTTTTTTGTTTTTTGGTTTTTTTTTTTTCAAAGAATAAGAACGAGAAGCTAATGAAAGGTTTAAGAACAATCATATTTATCATAACTGAAAAAGTAAACTCCTGGATATATAATGTATATACGACGCCAATTGCAGCCTTCGAATGTTTCTGATCATCATCTCAAAAATATTGATTTACCATCTCATAGTAAGGTGTCGATTCACTTATCTCTTCAGAAGGGATCTCCAGTCTTCATTTAAATACATGTTATGGTAAAGACTTATTTTATGCTAGTGTCGTTTCATTACATGTGAAAATGAAATCATTGTACATTTACATAAAGAGAAACGTTACACACTAGATGTATTAAGACTGTCAAACCTTGGTATATCGTAGAATAGATAATTTCCTCAAGAATATCCAGATTTGTCACCGGCATCGTTCCTCCGATGCTTCCTCGTGGATGGCCTTCATTTTCATGGAAGTCTTTAAATAAAAAACAATAACATGCAAACGTTCGATATCGATACAATGCAATCTTATTACAGCACAATAGATTGTCTAATATAGATTTTTTTATTTATTATCTCCCCTATATATCTCTGATGTGAAGTAATTGTGAGGTATATAGGTGTATGATATACTATAGAGATTTTAGTTTCCCAGTGCAATTTCAGTTATATTTTTTTAACTTTTGAACTATGTAACTGATTGAATTTTGCCTTCTTGATCAAATACTTGAAATGTCAATCTGATTAACCCTAATGTAATTAGCAGATACATTCCTCGTTACATCTTTGAGTAATGCCTGTAGAAGGTGTAGTTACCTTATGTACCTTAATTTGTTACATGTTACAATTTTCATTAAGGTTACCTCTAATTTGTCTCTAAGTCTAAAAGATACCACGTGTAATTAGTAAATTAGTACCTGACGCGCAATACGTTGACATTAATTTTGTCGAGAGTGACCCTTTTTCACACGTACGGTTCTCCACGGATATTGTATACTTTACACCCTGTGAACATTACCAAAAAGTTTGCGTGGTGCTCACTGAAGATCCTGTACGATAATTAAAAAATAAGAGCTGATTAGCTGGTGTCTTAATTTTTGCCCTATTGTGAAATAAGCCCGGAGAAAATTACCGTTTTGAAATGCGAAATAACGACGGCATTGTAACGAGATATCGGAGATGTAAGTGACCATCTGTACATCTCGAAGTTGACCAACGACATGGAGTTGTCAATGTCGTATGATACCCGGGTAGTCCCATTACTGAACGTATAATCCCCTTGGCTCCCTGCCGCTGCAAATTCGAAGAACAGCATGCCCTCCCATTGGTTGTACATACAACACCGTGGTGTCGGAGATCCCGAGGATAGTAGAAGGATTGTAGACATGAGAAACACAAGCTGAACAGCCATGATGTTTATATTACTTCCGCTGATATGTTCTGATAACTGCCACTGGTTCACTGCTTGTGTACTGACCAAGATAAACACCGATTACCCAGGACTGATTAATAGCGTAATGTCACTGAATCTCTTATTGTTTCGTAACTGGCCGCAAAGAAATATTACATCCGAAACGTCTGGACAAATGTGCTGCCTCGAAATAACCAGAAGTTGTTTTATTATCATAATAAACTCATAGGATAGTTAGATAAATTAATTCACAAACCTTCCTGTGTATGTTTATTAAGGTTTATTTAATCTAATGGCAGATTGAACTGATTTCAATTTTCAGACCACAAACTGTTTACATCTATACAACTGTATATATGCGTCTCAACTTTGACTGCGATATATGAATCGGTTGTCGGAACACCGACTTTAATGAAAGGTTTGCAATATTAAAATATGAGGTATAATGAGACGTATTTTGATGAAGACAGTAAAGAAGTTTTACTGTCAAAATCTATGAATAACATTCATAGTTGTTTTTTTTTGTAAATATGTATAAAGATTATAGTCTTAAAACAAAAAGTACATTTACAAGCCTACCTGTATCAGCCTCAAGTATATTCTGACATATATTTATTAACTTTTAGTTTTTATTCGTTTTGAAAATGTCCCACACACTTTGCAGTCAACCGCATATTGAATTTTATTGATGCTGATGGATATTCTTTCTACATTCATAAAACTGAACTTAATTGATATGTAAACAAAATAGTAGGATAAAGCATGAAAGGCACTCCAAAGAAACTACACGATAGTATAAAACGTCATATCGGAGAATAAAATTACATATGTTGTTCTAGAATTATCAGATATATGAAAACTATTAAAATATAACTTAATTACCGGGCTAATGTACCTCCCATCTAGATTTTGGCTTTTTTCAGTCACTTTAGATTCGCCATCCTCCTGCACATAAAAAATCAAGCTCTTGATATGACTGACGAGTCCTAGAGGGAAGAAAGAGCTATGATGCAGTTTAATTCGTTATTTGGTTATACCGGAATATCTATAAGTGCTATTCACTTGCGTGTCTTTTGCACAGTGTCAAATAATCTAGGGGTACGATAGAGGTAAACATTTGATGAAGAAGATACTAAAAAGTCTGTATACGTGTAAATTATTGATGAAATACATGGATATAATCATTTGATCTCGAGTTCGTGCTGGGTATATCCGATCTACAGGGATTCTGATCTCTAGATATTTAAAAACTACAAAATATTTTCAAATATCAGTATTGTGTATAAATAAAATTAGACATTTTATAACGAATATTATCTATTCTGAAAATATTTTGAATTCTTTTTAATATGAATATAAAAAAGAAATAGGCCAAATTAAGCACAGTCTTTCAGGGGTTAATGCTAAAAGTTTCAATCAAAACAATGATTTTGTGTTTTCCCTTAATATATAATGAAGCACTGCCTTATCAATATTTATTCTTTATGAAAGTCGCTCCAGCATGATTCATGATTATATTTTTTATTCCGTTCGATTACGGAAGAAAGGACTGATCATACAAGAGGAAATGTGTTAACTTTGGAATGAGTGTTGTCGTGTACATAGTAACTGTTATAATGCACTACATATTTTTACAGAAATGGGAAAATAATCACACATCAAAACCTCACTATTTAACCAACAATATATCAATGGTGATCACATTGCAATCAAGCCCCCTAAATAAGAGTTATGATTTAAGTTCAACATCAGTCATTTTTCTTTTCTCATTAGTAAAATTTCCTGACGAATATTATTTAATAACCTTTCATATATGTCTAAATATGGTAATGTCCCTTTGTGTTTAGTGTGTTTCTATTAGTTTATGAGTTTTAGTTTGTAAATGTGTATTGACCGTGTGGACCTTTATTTATTGCCCAAGTTATATATCTACAATCATGTCCAGCGATCGCATATCAATTCAGTAGACAATCTTTTTTCATGTGAATTTCAAGATACTTAGAGATTCTCTGGAAACCTATGTCAGAGAATGGATGAAAAAATAACATTTTGCTTAACATTAATTCAGTAAGTTAAAAGTGCCTATAGAAATCAATTGTCCAATGACACAAATTGCTGATCGTGATTCAGCACAATACTTCTGAAAACTGTCAATGATAACGATATGGACGTTCCTTCTTTGTGAAGGACATACCACATCCTTCAATGTTCCTTTCAGAAATATTGTTAATGCTTTAAATAATAAGGAATTTCTTATTCATGTGTATTGCATACAGTCTCCAGTACACCACAAGCTCGTCTACAGGTTTTCTCGATATTACAACGCCACCATTTGAGATCACTCTCCCTAATGAGCGATGTGATCTTGATTGCCTATGTAGAGAGTAGCGCACCTGCTGTCCCTACCTATACTGTTTACATTTCAAAACGTGTTCCTTGTATAGTTCTATAAAAGATAAGTGAGAGAAAGACTTATAACACTAGGGTTCAAGAGTTCCTTGATTCATGCCCAAGTTGTATGGTTGCCATTGTGATCTATTTCTTTAATTATTATAAAGTAGGGATGTGCGTGGACCTCTGTAAAATTCCGAAAGATATCGAATTGATTGAAAATTAGATTACTGAATCAGACGAATATTCGGATGGTAATGTCTATGTAAATGACATCTATGTGTGTTCGGTGCTCGTTAGTATAACTGGAAGTTTGATTGTTTTGAATCTTACAGAATACCTGGTCATATACTCAATATACTTTTTCCTGTCCTGTGAATCTGTCCCTGTTTTCACAGTTTAATTTTGCATAACGATTTTATCAACATGTCATTTATCTCTTGTTTTTATTCATATGTAAGGTCAAGTATATTTCACAAGTCAATGATGTTTTCCTCGCAGTCCTTTCCGTCTGTTTACTGCAATGCAAGTCTAATGCCCCTAACAAAGATAAAGAGTTAATACGTTCAAGCGAAAGTGATTCCAGTTAATATATAAAACGGGAAAAGGACACAAACGTCATTTAATATTCGTGTATTATAGACAGTGGTTTTTGTAAACCTATCTTTATTATACAATATATCATTACACAATGCAATTTATTTCAGAGATATAAAAGCAACGTGTATGTTAGGTAGGAAAATAACTCGTACATTCCTATGTTAACTCTGTAAATAATATTTCTTTAGTATTTAAGTGGTTCGAACATTGTTAATCTGTTAATGATATTTTTAAAATTTATTCAAGTATAAGTGACAAAATTACTTTTCTAATTACTGTAGTGACAGGTGGAATGACTCATCATCGAAATTTTAGAGCTTTTTAGCTTTTTTAATAGTATACCGAAAACTGTTGAAAAGGTATTAAAACAAAGAAGGATAACTCCTACTTCCTTACGTGATAGAGCGCATGTCTGTACAATAACGGAGATATCTGCAGCTGTCTCAATTAACATATTTAGCATCACCTACCTCACAAGAGTCAGGAGTAAATATTGGATGAGTTTAAAGTGCTGCTTTATTCATCAAATTGGATTTCTTTTACGGTCGGTGCTTGTAACAACAATGTTTATCCTGTAGAGGATCGGGTATTGAAGCATTTTCCCAACAGAATTACATACACAACGTATGATGAGAATACATCGACGTTTTTAGTTATTTGTAATCATTTTTTCAAGTGTTTGAAGCAACGTAAACTATACAGTGAATTTGATAATTAACATTTATGCAATTAAACTCAAACTTTTAATAGACGAAACAATGTTCAGAAAGTTTTATTCAAACAGCCCATTAACCATAACCAAATGCCCGAAAGGCTATACATTTTTTACTTCACCGACAACACCATCATGTAAATCATGGTCAAACCAATAAAGTAATGTAACGTTCCAAAATTGCCGGGCATACTAAACAGTATCTAACATATCTACCTCCATACAGTATAAACGTGAGTTTCGCCTATGATGGTAACCATAAAACTATTCCGTAGTCATCAACCTCTATTTCTAAAAACACTGCTGTGAGTTCCTCCGCCACAGAAATAAGTATATCGCTCGAATAACTTGGAAAGCAGTTACTATCCAGAAATGGAAAATTTACAATAGGGATATAGCAATCCTTCCTCTTCTATCTATTGTGATGTAGTAAAGGAGTCTATTGCGTCCTTGATGATTGTCAGATATCACCGGGAACCCGACCTTAATTATAGGGATTTACTAGACTGCTCAGTATTTAAGCAAGTTGCATGGTCTTCATTTGTTTTAAGAAACTAGTTTGACTTTATTCGTGATACATGTAGCTATGTAATGTTAGCACAATATACATAGTATATTTAGATTAAAGTTTCTAAAAACTGCTTTTGATAGATGACGAATCACACCTTTAAAAATTCATTATATACTTGTCTTACGCGCGTATTCCGTACATGATACTTGCCCTGTACATATCTGACTTCCTCTAGAACCTCTATTACGTCATTAATCAAAATGTGTGTGCTGTTGACATCCAGCTGTCATGTCTCTGACTGTAGTAGTGCACCGTAATGCATCCTGGCGTTGCCTTAATATATGTGCGTAGTTAACAATGTAGTGTATGTACAAGACATGTCATAAAAGAACCCTATTTTAACTTTGAAACCTAATATGAAATATCAGCATTACTTTGTATTCTTTTTTGTTTACTTTTAAATACATTTACATTGTTATGTTTTTTTCTGTGAGTTTATAAAACTCGTTTGTAAAATTTCATACACATGTATCCATCGTTGCCGTGTTACCAGTGGTGTAGTAACGTCATACTTGTGTATTGTGTGAATATTTAATCATAAATACGTGTGTGTGTGTGTGTGACACCGCATGTGTACTGGTCGGAGTATATAAGTTTGTAGAGAAAATCTTTATTCATTACCTTTGTAAATTGCTGTTATGTGCTTTATTAATCAGAACTAAGAGGTGAAACTGACGACCGAACAGATGATGTCCTGGGATGACGTGTATTAACTGCACCTCACCC